AGACGCCACACAGACGACAGACGCCTACTTCCCCCTCTTCCTCAACTTTCATCTTCTTCTGTCTCTTCATCCTCGCTGTCTGGAACGGTGGAGTTGAAAAAACTTTGCACGATACAAATGCCTCTTTCAGGGCGGTGTACTCACGGATGGCGTAGTCCACCATCGTAGCGGTGAGATGCATGTTGTTAATTTCCTCATCCTCTTGGAAGGCGTCACTTTTCGGCAGCCACTTTCGATTCCTCGTCTGCCGGTTGCGTTCCGCAATACCCTCCTGCATGGTCTGGAACCAAGCAGCGTAGTACCTCCCTACACTCTCAAACCAGTGAAGCGATGCAAACGACTCCGAGAGGCCAAACAGTTTGAGCAGAAAGACGCACCCAAGCGCAAAGCCATCGTCGGTAAATACCCCATCCTTGTTCTTCTTGACAAGCTGTTCCTTCTCCCGTATCATGAGCTCCACGTGTAGGACGCAGATGGGTGGGACAATCATGTGAAAATTCTGCAGATGACGGTACTTTTCTACATCCTTCAACCGTTTCATTACCGCCTCGAGGAGCATTGGGAAATACTCGGATCCGTCAGACAGTTTCCGCCGCATGTTGTGAACTACACTGTCAACAACGCGCACCGCCTCCACTGTGCAGGGGGGCGCCTTGGATCTGTCTTCCTCCACCTTCGCTTCTTCTTCATCGTCGCTGCCAATAGCGGCGGGGTCAATGACACGCTCTAAACGAACAACGCTGTCAATAGAGGGGATAAATACGGCGGCATCCGCGATGGCGCGCAACCCACCGCTACGCATCATCCGCATGTACCCAAGGGCGTTGCCAATCTCAGAGACAAGGTGGCGAAACTTCTCCAGGAATGTTTGCCCATCATCGGCGAGCCCCAATTTGCGCACTTCGCGAATGAACTTTTCCGCCCGTGAAAGCGGATATTCCCCGTTCAGTTCCTCCTTCTGCGCGGCAAAGAATTTTGCGTCCTTGATAAGCCGCGACTTCACATGGTCATCGTAAAGAAACTGTGAAAGAATCGCAAGCTTCTTTAGGAGGCATTTGTAGACGTAATTGACGGTGGTGTTCATGATACCGGTGCCGTGGGTTCGAATCGAATTGGCTACGTGGCGAATGTGCAGCGTGTGAAGATGCTTCGACTCCGTCGTTGAGGGCCGCTGCACGAAGAGTTGCTCATTCATGTTGTACGTATAGTTGGCGACAAAGACCTGGATGTTTTCCGTGATGACCAGGACGTCTAACCCCTGATCGACAATGCTGCCGGGCAGGTAACCGTCGCAGATGCGTAGCCCGTAGCGCACCAGCGCCAGATTTCGCATCTCCTCGTACGTCTTCCAGTCATTTGCCATGAGCGCGTTGAGGTTGTAGAACTGCGCATCCAGGCAGTGCTCCACCTCCGTTGCGATGTGTAGCCATTCATGGAAGAAACGCAAGGGCGGCACCCGAGTGAAGCATCCCACGCCACACGCCATCCCGGTCCCCACCTCAACCTTACGGAACGGCTGCCCCAAAACGACAGAATGCGTATACAACCGTAGGTCGTTCTCAATGTCGATACAAAGAGGGTCAATGAGACGTTTTTGAAGGCAGTTCCGAACATAGGAGATGTATGCGTCAAGCAGGTGACCGGCCTCCTCCACATGCCTTGATGCAAGGATAGAGGATCGACAATCATGCATGGCCATGATAAGATATGAGAGGCAGTTTGACCGCAGCGGCTGCCGATACATTCGTTCAAAGAAGAGGGGGTAAAACGTCTCCCGGTGCCAATACAGGAAATCGCAGTCTGTGGCAGCATACAAGGCGCTCTGGAGGGAGGCCACCCGCTGGAGCTGAGCAAAGGCAATTAAAATATCCTCGCAATCTTTTTGGGTGACAATCACTGCTAGGTCCCGTTCCACCTGACGCCGATGAAACGCGGTACTAAGAACAAGGTCCAGACACACTAGATTTTCAGTTGTCTGTGGTTTATGCAGGAGTGCGATGGCTTGCCGAATCGCGCTGTACTGGTCCATCGCCTTTTCTGAATTCGTCTGAATAAAGTCACCAAGACGCAGGTAAAGCTCGTAGAGGCGTCGCTCCATCACATACGCAATTGAGCGCACCAGAAGATTGTATGTGGACGCCACCACTCCTGTCTTGGCATGAAAGGCGGCCCGAATCATCATAAGTAATTCAACCCCATGGGAGACGCCATCAACGTGGTGAAGGGAGATGGCAACATCAGCACAGTTGTGTAGCACAATGTGGTTAATGAGTAGTCGTTGAATATGCTGTGCCATAAGTATCCCACGCTGCAGCATCAGCGTCGTACCATGCAGAAATTCCTTGTGGTGTGCAGGATCCACAGGAAGGGTCGTCTCCATCTCGGCGATCCATGCGCTTACCAAGGTGGTGAGACGATTTAACTGAGGAAGGAACTCGACACCACTTTGTCTACATGCCTTTTTGATAGCAGCTATTCCTTCCATAGATGGATCCTTCAGGTACCGGTTTAACTCAACCGGCACACGACGCGATAACCAGAGAACAGGGCGAAACAGGTGGACCCCGTGCAGGTAAATAACTGGCATTTGATGATGCAGTTGAAAGACACGCTTGCACAGGCTGCGCCGCGTCGCCTCATTGGTTAGCTCTTTAAAAAGGTGGAGGTAGATGTAGTACATTCCAAGAACACCGATGTATTGTCGTCGAGCATGGCCTTCCCGTGGGGTTCCCACATCCTCTTCCACTACGGCTAGCAGGTGGCCAATAAGATCCGTAAACTCTGAGCATAGTCGCCTATTGGTGGCCACAGACACTTGCTCCTCTGGCAAGTCGTACGGCTGCAGTACCAGACGCTGCAGCACCCCATCATCCAGCAGGTCCTGCTCAATCTTGTTCAGTAGCCGACCGAAGAGCTCCATCATCATATCGTCGTACTCAAACTGATCACGGTTTTTCACGATCTGCGCGAGGAACTTGCGATAGATGGAGAGACCGTGGCGAAGAGTGTCGTGAGTCTGCAGGACCTCCTCCACACTCATGAGGGCAGCAAGAAGGTTTGCCAGGGAGTGCCAAACGCGAAAGAAGCGCACATGCGTGAATGAACGGTACTTGTCATGCTCATGCAATGGCGAGTAGAGGGCGGCCAACTGACGAACCGTCTGCAGCACCACCTTATGCACACGCTGTACCCAGAACCAGAGGTCCTGCAGCAATCCCAACATACGACCGGCGCCTTGCTGTGCCTCCTCGTCGGAAATGCCCTCGTCGCGGCAGCTGTCGTCGCCAAACATTGCCAGGGGTGGGATGAACACGGCGTACGCCTCGTCCGCAAGGGAGTCCATCTCAAGGACCAGGCTGGCAAAGCAAAGCGTGATGCGGTAGAAAAGGCGGTTGTGCAGCTGGGTACGCCCTAGCGTGTCGGCAATGGAAGTGACGAGTTCTTGCCGGCGCGACGCCTGCGTGCCCAGCTGGAGCGAAACGGTGTCTGTGTGCGGGTCCCACACCATAGGATCCCAGCGGGAATCAAAGGTCTGCTCCACCTCCATAAGCATCCTCTCATGCCCGGTGACGAAAAGGCGCAGCTTGTCCTGAAACACTTCCTGCTCCTCCTTCCCGAGGTCCACGCCAAAGTCAAGCGGGGCGAGCATAACAACCTCGAGGGGGCGGTGCCAGGCTGAGTCTCAAATACGACGCTACCGCGGCCAGCAGCAAAAAAAAAAAAAGAGAGAGAGAGAGAGAAACAAATAAAAAAGACAGAGTAAGACTCGTTTGGGTTCACCGCACTGTGAGGTTCTTATGCAGACTGCAGACGGCAGTGGCGATGCCAGCGTCGCCAGGCACATCGGCGCCGCCCGCTCGCCACAACAAAAGGAAACTACGTGTCGCAATTACAGTACTCGTCGCCTCTCACTCCTCCAGAATCCAAGACTTGTCCCATACAAGCCATGTGGCTCCTTGGCAAGAAGGAGGAAATTAAGGGATGAGCAGTTACGTGGAAACCAAAGAATGACCTTCTTCTTTCATGCCCCATTGCCCCACTCCAACTGGCTTCCAAATGCTGCCGCTGCCGCCAACAACAACAAGAGCGACAAAAGAAGGGATGCGCCACGACGTCTCTCTCGAAATGAATCGTGGCGACAAACGCCAAGGAAGTTGCCAGGGAGAGTAAGGGCCATGTGAGAAGTTTTTTATTAACCAATCGTTTTCCTCTCCACCCTGTACAAAACAAAGAGAAAACAACAGCAGCAATGGGAAGTGTAGGGACATCCACTGCGTTCATCCTCGTTTCATACAGGGGAATTGGCGTGCGAACGAAGGACAGGACCGTCACCACCACCGCACTACAGCCATCCGCTGCAGATTGGCGGCTACAGTACGGCGTCCGCGTTGGTCTCGGCCAGCCGTCGACGATGTGTCGGAAGCGACTCGTGAACCTTGTAGCTTTGCGTAGTGACGATTTCCTGACAAATACCGCAAATAGAATTTACAATGTCAAACCCACTCTCGAAAAACGTATTCCCCGCTGCTGTTTCTTTTTGCCGCTGCTCTGCTGACACCACTGTGGCGGGCTCAATGAAGGAGGGCATGCGCTGCACCAGCTTGCCAAACTGCGTGTAGGTTGTCCCCGGTGGGGGGGAAGCGTCCGCGCTGTTCTGGTGGCCCTCACTATGCAAGTGATTCGTCACGCTAACAGGATGGGAGGGGAGAAAGAGGCGGCAGCGGCAGCAGAAGAGCATCGCGCCAGGGTTTTGACTGACGAGGTGCTGCGGCAGCATAGGAGGTGCCGAACCGTTTTTGCGACTCGGCGGAGGACGAAATGACACACTTGTCACATCCTCACACTTCGCCTCGGCCTCCCCACAATTTCCCCGAACATCTTCCTCCAGCAGCAACTGCGGGAGAAAGGGTTTAGCGACGACATCCAAGTCATTGCCGCCACCGACGACATCTCCAGCCACGTTTCCGCTCTGAGATGCAGGCGACAACAAGGCGAGAGCAGCAGCTGCCACGTCATTGTTGGCCACCAGCTGTGGTTCCTGACCGTACGGTGGTGGGGGAGGGCACGGAGGCTGAAGCTGGTACGGCGGGGGCGGTAGTGAGGATGGCGAAGCGAGCGTTGAGACTAGTGTGCCATCCACACGCAACGGTGGAAGCGGCGGACGCAAGTACTCACCACTCCCTCCCGCACCGCCACCACCTCGCATCCCACGCGGTGGGGTGGAATCACGCCTACTGTGAAGTCGTTCCGCCTCATGCGTCTTTTTATGATCTGTGCTTCGGGATGGTCCGCGGTCAGCTATGTCGTGAAAATTGTAGCCGCGCCTTTTAGCCTCCATGTGCACCACACGCAATTTGTTCTGAAGCGCCTGTACCTCCTGCTTCCGCATCTCTAGCTGCTGTGTGCGTGCCTCCAAGTCCCGATGATACTGTTGGTTCTGATGGCGCAGCTCCTCCACAGCACGCAGTAGCTCCTCATGCATGGCCTTGGAGGGGCCATCCTCAGGCACGGAAGTCACCTCCGCGGGTGCAGTGGGGGGTGCGTTGCCAGAAGCGTACCGCCGTGCAGCACGCATAACGTGGTCAACGAGAATCGGCCCCTCACTGCTCATCTTGACGGACGTGCCTGGAAGGCAGTCCTGCGGCTGGTCCCCCACAATGGTTGCGTACAGCGCACGGTAGCACAGCTGCGTACCAGGGACAACCCTCCTAGCCTTCTCACTCATTCCACCTTAACGATCTATTACGTAAACACGTAAATGTACGTATTTTAGAAGCACAACAACAACAACAACAACAACAACGGCACGGCTGCTCGCACAACTCCCCCTGGTGATCTGCAAGCTGGCCTTTTCCCTTTTCTATTGCTCTAACAGAGTGCCGCAACGTCGAAACAGAAGCAAAAGAGAACTGCACACACACACACACATGAAACAACTCCGTCCAAACATACTTCTCGTTAAATAGCAACAAATATCATTATACGGCTCCATTTCTCACAATAGACCCTTACTTTTGCTACCAACTCCGTTCCTTCCAGCTCGCCGTCAATATGATATCGCTGCAGAGAGAGAGAGAGACAGGGAGGGAGAGAGAGCGGGGCAGGACGCTGTTCTGTGGGAGGGACTTGAAGGAAGTGCACAATGCCACTGCGTTTTACATGCAGGCCATGAAAGCTACCGCCAGCGTCGTATGTGTTGTTACAAAGAGTGGTTTCCACACGGGCAACGCAGGCCCACGACACAGGCAGGGTGATGGCAATGACTCCGCTCAGTATAAGGATGACCTATGGCATAGAACTAATGCATGCGGGCATCCTCAACCTGCATACGATGCAGCTGGCAATGTAAAGAGGAATGCCTATGACCGCAAAGGCCAACGCTGCATGCGTGAAAGACCGCATCTTAGGGCACCCGCCGTACCGGTGTGCCACCGACCGAACGCAGTACTTCCCTGTGGCCCCACATCGCGTAACATTGCGGGCAGACGTGAAGACCGCGGAACATCAAAAAAAAAACACGCAAGAATGACAACAAAGACCATGGATAATAAGAAAAATCAGTGTCCGTGCTATTCCACGGCGCCAAACAATTTTTGGAAGCTGGAGGCAAACTTAACATTTTTTCCTCCTTGAGGTGCTGCACGGCAAGGGATGACCGCGCCACCATCAACGCCAAAGCAAAAGGGAGAGAAGAAGCACGGGAAGCACGGTAGTGAGCGATGCCACTTACAGATACGCCACATGTGTTGGGGTTGCCACAAAAGCCAACGAAGGCTGCAAGCAATTGTGGAGCATCTCGCATCTTCTCTCCTTTCACCATTGTACCCATGTGCTCCACTCCACCTTTTTTTTTAAAAAAAAAAGTTTTGCCCACGAGATAAACACCTATGACCGCATGTATGTGTAAGCAGAGGGAAGGAGGGATGGTAACATCCGTGCCAAGTCACTGTTGGTGTCATCCACGTTGTGAACAAAAAGTGGGAGCCAAAGCCATGGAACCCCCTCGCCGCGGTGTGTGTGTGGCAGCGAGACACCGCCTAACCCTTCGGCAAAAGGTGTTTCTTGATGGACTCAAAATCGACGTCCCACGGTACGAAGACGACGCCACTCGGCATCGTGTTAAACTGCGCGGATATGATCCACATCATGCGTTTCTTCGGCACCCCTGCCGTCGTGCCACTCCTCAAGAGCATCGTCAAGAAGGACGCCAGTTGCCCCTGATTTGCCTTTATGGTGTGCACAAACCGCTGTAGGCAGTTCACCAGGTTCCCCTCCTCCCGCAGCTTCCACTCGGTGTCTACGCTAAAGTCGACCGGGATGCTGCGGCTCAGGTGCTCCAGCGTAGCCACGGCGTTGTCATGCTTCTTTTGAAACGTCTCCAAACAACGCAAGTTGTCCTTCAAGACACGCAGCATCTGGCCTGTGGTCATTGTGCCAAAGTTGAAGAAGAGACGACCGTCGCCGCCGATGCGGTACCCAATCTCTTTCGCAGGATCCATCGCACTACGTAGCGTGCGGGCCACATGAATTTCCCCGCGTTTTTTCAACAGCTCCGACTTCAAATTATACTTCCGCACCGCGTTGCGTATCACCATTTCCTCCTTCATCAGACGCAGGACAAACTCCTCCTGCCAATCCATCCGCGCCCCAATGCCGGAGTCTAGCTGCACACGAAAAAAGTGAAACATATCTGCCACCTTCATAAGTTGTCGCTGCCGTGCCCGCAGTTTGGGGGCGTTTCCAATGCGCCAGTCACGGTGCATCTGCACACAGTTCTGCCACACCTCTTGCGGGAGCGTCAAGAGAAACTCCTCCCACGTCGGCATGCGATGTACGGAAAGGACAAGGCAGCCGTCCTCCGCCACGTAGTTGTCCATAGATTTGAGCGAAAGGACAATGCACACACACGGTCGCATCGCTCGGCCGCGGTGCACTTCATACATGCGTTCAAGACGTTCAAAGGCGGAGACAAAGCGTTCTACCGAGGAGTGACTACCCGCCATGCGCAGATCAAAGGCACGGAGACCACGTTCACGCATGTATTCCTGAACGTCGGGGTCAATTTCCCCATTGGGGCCCACAAGACTCTGCGCCGGTGTGTATGTGGAAGCGGCGCGGTCCAAGGGCCCGTGGTGTTGCAACTGCTGATGCATCTCCGGCAATGTGACGAGGTACGTGATGCCGTTCTCCTCTACAATAAGCAGGACACCAAACCGCCTCAGCATTTCAACTGCCTTGTCTCCACGGATGTACAGGATCCCAGACTGATGCAGGTGTTCGTTCTGTCGCTCGTCTGCGTGACGCAGCACCGACTCCAGGTTCATCTCAACCCCCGCGTCATCAAGATCAAAGTCCTCGTAGACACCAGCGTCACGAAACAGTTGCGATAGCTGCTGCTTCACCGTGTTGTTAGGGGCTACTGGGTTGATGGTGCAGCTCACAGACCGCAGTGTTGTTGCCGGCCGAACATGGTGTTTCTCCTGCTGCTCGCCCAGCCAAAATGTGAAACTTTCCGCGGTGCCCTGACACCCGTAGCAGTTACCGCCGTCTGCAGAACTACGCTGGTGCATCATCGTCTCCAGGCGAATCATCTCCTCGCCGTTGTGCTGCGCCTTCACCGCGTCAACAGCCCACAGGACATCCGGATGAGCACCCGCGAGCTTCAACTTGCGAAACATCTGCGCCAACGTCTTTGCCCGCCACAAGGACGACGAGCGACGCATCCCCAACGACAGCCACTTCTCTTGGTTGCGCTCTCCTACTCGACACCTACCCACGTATAGAAAAAAAAAAACAAAGACAAAAATAAAATAAAATAAGGCGTCAACACCGCCAGAAACCAAAGGGGCGGCGAGGGCATGCACCGCAGTGGGTGGACGAAATTTAACTCATCTTCTGCTTGCAGGCCGCATTTCCTTCATTCCAGAGGGAAGCTGAGGGATGGGGAGCGCTGAGAGGCAAACACGCATGGAACCGTTTAACGCAGCGGCGGCAAAGGAGGAAGTGTAAAGACACATTATCCTTGCCGAGACGATGCCCCATGCGAGTTAAACCCTCGGCATCTTCTTTCCTTTAAAAAAATAATAATAATAAAAAAACTTCCCCACGTTTTCCTGCTTCTCTTCGCACATCCTTCATCTATCTGATCCCTCCTCCACTCAGTGTTCCCCACCCGCTCACGTGGTTTGGTCTTTTTCTTCTTTTAAGCGCAGACAAGTCCATTCCCAGGCAGTATGCCCCATCTAACGGTGGCCGCAGCAATGACGGCAAACACCGCCAATGTAGCAGAAGCCAAGATCAATGCATCAATAAATGCATTGGGACAAAAAACAAAGGAATATAATAATAATATGAATTAAACAATACACGCACAGGCGCAAAAGGAGCGAGAAAGCGAGAGAGAGGAGGATGGTTAGAACACGGTGGAAAGTACACCTTCGCCCCGCCCCGCCAGTCCTCCTCTGTTCCTGCTCAACCTCGCTTCGCAAGCAACGAGAGACGTTTTTTCACCGCAGGTGGAGATGGCGAGGAAGTTGCCCTGATACGTGTCCCGGTAACAGCCGTCGCTCTGCCGTGGCGAGCATCCGCCTTGGCACCATCTGCTTCGTACCGCATCGCAATTTGGACCACATCCTCCACAAAGTTCATATGCGCCATCACACGACCCATATCCACCTCTTTTGGAGTCCAACGCGCCTCATCCGTCTCGCGATCAAAACGCGGGTAGACGTCCCTGAAGCCAAAGGACTCATACAACCGTCGGGAAGCCGGCGATGCTACACACTCCAAACGTGTCCCGCTGTCGACAACGCGTTTTTCCAGCGCCATATTCAAGTAGGCGCGCGTGCGACCCCGTAGTGCCCATTTTAGTAGATCTATCACCATCAGAATTCGTGCAAGCCCCCTTCGTTGGTAGTCTCTATGTGTCGCACTTAACGTAATGTGGACAAAGTCCGAGATGTCAGTTAATTTTGCACAGGATGCCATAAACGCTGTCTGATGCCTCCTATCAATAAGTCCTCTGTTGATACCGCTTTTTAACTGTGTGATTGTATGCCGCAGGTTTCCGTACACGTCCATTCCATTTGATAGAACCATAGATACAACACGCCCAGTTTGTGTGCAGCGGAGCAACGTCCCTTGCACGTATGGGTGAGTCCGTTCCCGCACCTCCTTCAGGCAGTAGGCCGGGTACTGGTCGGAAAAGGTGGCCTCCTTAATGGCCTCCTCGCAGCACTCCAGACACTCCTTCTCCATGGTGGCGGTGAGCAGCATCACGGGAAGGTCGACTACCACAAAGCCAGCCTCATGGGCAGCCCGCGTGGCAATCCTTAGTAGATGACGCAGCTGCATGACAGATCCAAACGGCAGACGATCTGGAACCTCGCGAAGACGCAGAGGCGGTTGTCGTGGGGCAGGTGACTGAGACTCACGACGCAGACGCTTATGCATCCCTGTACAGAAAGGACACACAAAACTGTTTTCTACCTGGTACCGCCGCAACTCTGCGTGGTCGACACCTACACAGGCAGGGTGACACCAATTCCGGCAGCGATGACACTCCAACAGCGTCTCCTGCGTGGAGACGAGGTACGCAGTGCAAATGCATCGCAGCACACCACCGACAGGCCCGTCCAGCTGCCCTAGAGGACTTCTTCCTTTTATGAGGGCGCGTGTAACCATGCGGTGCCGTCCTGCCGCCGCCACAACCTCCACCTGGGCATCCGAGGAGGAAGAGCTGAGTGCAGAGCGCATTACGTCCGTCCACGAAGAAGCGCTCCACCGCCTTGCTTCTCGCCAAGCTACCCCTGGCGCGTGCGTATATATACAAGAGTGGGCGAGAGGATGGATGCACGTACGTGTACGTATTGCTACTGTGCAAGTGCCTTCTCTTTTGTTGTGGCAGGGTGGGAAAGACAGCCGTCATCGTCGTCAGTAAAGTGCATTTACGCCAGCGACCGAATGACAGCTGGCGCCGTCACTGACGCACATGTGGTGGTGGTAGAAGTGCATAAACCTCCCCCCTCCCACGCACGCAGAGGAGGTGGCATATGGTGAGGAAAAAAATATAATAAACACATAAAAAAAATAATAATCACGGAAAAAATATCATTTTTTAGTTCCATCAATATTTCGCCAATTCCGCGCGCCTCCTCCTCCTCACATACACACGCATACGCATTTCAACAATAAAAGCCATCCAAGAGTCATGCCAGGCAGGCTCATGTCGCATGAGAAGCAAGTGACGGCCGCCCGCCTCCAGACGGGGCACCGCCCCCAACAAGCGCATCTGCGGAAAGCAGGCACCTCCCAAAATTAAGCAAAAAAGGGAAAAACACGGAAGCAAGAAGTGAGCTCACACAAACGTTTTAAGGCATCGTTAGATAATGACATGAGATAGCCCGAAAACCTCCGCAAACTTTGCCAAGGCCGTCTCCAAACAAAGTTGTACTGCTAGAATGTTTTTCTCGGGTAGACGCCAGGTCACACTGTTCGACGGCGCTGCGCGGAACAGCTGCCCTGCCAGGGTTTCACTGTCGTGGATTGTGCCATTCTCACCTTCCTTACCGCGCGGAAGCAGGGAGTGAAACGACATGTACCGCTTGCTTGAAAGGCGCAAAGCCCGCCGCAACAGAAACTCCGGTAGCCTACACATGGGTGTTGGCTTTGCCGCCTCCCCCACAGCGAGGAGGCCCCTCTCGGTAAAAACAAGGGATTACACCGCACCTCTGCTGAATGACTATACAAGGCTTTTGCCGTGATCCAGGAAGACAAAAGCTGCTTCGTATTCCCCCTTGCAACCACATGGCTGTTATGCATAAATGTCCTGTCTTCGTTGGCAATGACGTAGTCAAAAAGCAGCATGGTGGCAACTTCAAGCATCAACCGATCACTGGTGGGGCTGAGACCATGTCGGCGCGTTGCTTGCATCCAAGCGTCAAAGCGGCGCTGCGTGATGAGAGGAACAGCGTCGGCAAACGAGACCACACCATCCGGAACCCATTCATGAACACTTACCGTTAGCAACGTGCCTGTGGTATCGGCGGACCGACGAATCTACGGCAGTTCCTCCTCAAAAAAGCTTAGCTCAGTCGCATCCACGCCTGCCAGTAACGTTTCACGAACGACGGAAGCGGGGATGCGGAGAAGGTTTGTAGAGAGGCACCATGCCAATCCTCAACAGCAGAGACGCGGCATACGCACCGTACTCCGCATGTGGTTCAACCGGAAATGAAAGCTGCTCAAGTTTCACGATGACAGCTGCTCCATTCTTATAGCGAAAACGAACCTTAATCGTGCGAGCATCGCGGTGGCGTGGTACAGCCTCCACACTGTCCCACTAGGAAAGGAAGGACGCGCACCTTCTGCTGTGCACCACAGCCTCAGCCCCATACGTGGGTTCTGGAAACCATTGGGAGCAGGCCACTACGTCATCGCTTGCCCGTATCGCCTCTGGCCCCTCACTCTGGGGTGGGGTTAACCCTGGTGGGGCTTGACGCGGGACTTCCGAGGTAGAAGGGACAAATACGGGCTTCTCTCAATCCCCCGATGCCTTGAGACACACGCACAACCGACGATGCAGAGGCGCTTTCGCACCGCACGTTGGACGCTCTCGTTTGCCATACATGGAGTTAACATGACAGGTCTGCATTCGGACGTTAAAAGAGGGGTGATGCTGCTTTGGAATATCCCATGATGTGTGCTTGCAGAGGAAAACAACTTCCAACGACGCCAATGAGTTGACACGAAGGAAGCTCAAGGCTTTTTCGACGCACTTTAATTCACCTTCGCTACAAGCCTCGTTGCAAGAGGTATTTTCCTCAGACACCACCACGCGCAGACCAGCAAGAGTCGTATCGTATTGCGCTGCCGCTCTTCGTTCCAGGCCATCAACTGCACATAACTGTGAGCCGTGTGCCGCATAACTCACATACTTTCCGTAGGACTGTATTTCGCAGGGGCGTTGGCGTCTCAAGTGAGAAACCTAATCGCATCTCGCACCGCCATACACTTTGCGTGCAGTTTCTCATACGCCTCCTACCAGAGTCGATACGGTGCTGCAAGTTCCCGCACGGGTTCATTTGCCCTGAGGTACTTCGACGGATGCGGAGGATCTTCGCGGTTGTACCACGGCTTCCATGAACTGCGGTAGTGGAGTCCAATGACCAGACTAATAAGGGGATCAGCGGGATAGATGTAAATGCTAAGGAGGTGGTTCAAAACAACGTACCGCGATTTAAAGTAGCCACGGATAATGCATCCATCCCTGCCGCTGTGACCCTGCTGCCGACCATCGGTTTTCAAGCTACGCAGCATAGCAAGAAACACCGCACGGGAGGGTATCAGGAGCATCATCCTTGTTTGAAACTAGTTTTTGGTTTGAATGCCAATGACGCCCACGTGGTGCTCGTCGGGCAATTCGGTGTCGAAGACCTTGTCCAGGATGCGCACCATCAACATATCCCCGTCGAACATCGCCACGCGGGCGTATTCGGTGAGGTTTAAGACATGCAACTTCGTAAACGTGTCTTTCAGGCGCGCGCGTGGGGCGTACACAGACAAGTCATCGACTTCCAAGAGATGACTTCACCCGGCGCAGCGCAGCCGCCCGCGACTCTCCGCTGAAATACGCCCCTCAGGGAAGATATGCACGAGGTCCACCACCCCGCCTTCCACGTGGCTGGAGTGCTGCGTGACCGAATACCCCAAGACCAGGGCCCTGTCAACGTAATCCTCATTGGTGATGACAACGGCGTACACCACTTTTCCCTCCAACATGGCAGGCTGCGGCAAATTGCGTTGCGGTGCCGGCGCACGTTGGGGTTGGCGTCCCTCTTTCTCTCCCTCACGCCTTTGCGTTACGCTGCAGCATCAGACCGCGCCAAAGGCACTCGAACAACAGTTGTCCGCAGCGACACACACGGAGTCCTGCATGTAATCTGCGAAGTCGCTTGTGCCATAGAAACAGATGCATTCCCTGTATTTCCTGCACACCAACTACAACGATACCGCGTGTGTACACCCTTATTTCCCCTGCGACTCAGCAGCACGATAATGAACGTTTGTTACCAAATACCCAATTACTTTTATTTCATTCGCTTGTATTCCGCGTAAAAAAGAGGAAGTGACGAGGGAAGTGACATACACAGGCCATGGAAGCAAAACCTGGTAAAATGGTGAGTGAACAGAGAGCAGCACAAGGGGGGAAAAAAGAGGAGATTCAACAACTGAAAGAACGAATTTCGGTTGCAGCATCAAAACAATGCGTTCACACCCTGCTTCAAGCGCATACACGCACACGCGCCCGTGCAGTGGGAGGTGGGTGGATGAGTGGGAGCGACGGAAATAAATGATCCCCACACCCCTCTTCCGTTCTCATTTCTCCCCACCATCACAGCCCCAGCGTGAGCTCGTTGTTTTCCTCTGCGTACTCTGCAGGGAAAGGCTCATGCAGATCCACTTCAACAACCCTGAAGAAGCGATGTCGCAGAACCTCACCCCAACCACCACCAAAGCCGAGTCGCCGTTCTGGGCTGCGCTGCATCAGTCCCGTAAGGAGGTCCCTAAGAGCATTCCAAACGCCAGGAGAGTAGCGTGGACCGCAGGCAGTTCTGTAGCGCTGCTCCGCAAGTGAACATCCCTCTAACACTTTTATCTGTAGTTCATCCTGTGTATAGTTTCCACTGCGCTCCACGAAGGATCCCATAAAAGGTTGCCCCGTTAAAAGTTCGAAAAGGAAGGTACCAAAGGCCCAAAAGTCCACCATGAAGGGATGCGCCAGCAACGCTTCCGTCTCCGCTGCCCGTGCGGTGGGAAGGAGCTCTGGTGCTTGCAGATGACACGTAATACCCCGCGCCAGCTCCTCCCTGCCAACCACGCCTCTCATTTCAGAGTCATCTACACCGCTTCGTACAACTACGGCACTGGCGAAGTCCACAAGCCATACATGACCCCCATCCCCGAGGAGGACATTCGGCAGTTTGAGATCGCCGTACACCACGCCCTTGCTGTGAACATGCTGCAACACACTGGCAACCTGGTGTGCAACCTGCACGGCCACGGACCAACGAAGGACCCGAAATGTATGAAAGAAGCGGTCAATGGAGGCGGCCTTGACAAATTGTGTAACGAGGACAGGCAAGCGCTGCGGGGCGCAGCGCTTCTCCTTCGCAAGGAAACACGAGGTGTCAAATAAATCCTCAACACACTCCACAAAGACGGGAATGGATGGATGCGGACACACAAGGGCGTAAATCATCGCTTCGTGCAGCGTTGGGTGCGCTACTCCATCGTGGCACGAGACGGAGGCGCGATCCCCATGATCCTCATGGCCAACACGTGCTGTATCTCCCTTGTGACTCGCTGGCAACAACGAGGGTGCTGTCGTCACCTTTAGCGCCACCGGGCCCAAGGTGTATCGGGCATGACAATTCTGCTTGAACACCGCCGTGTGCGAAAGAATTGCAACAACAGTGCTGTAGTCAAACGGCGGTTCAGGCGTCATGCTTCCACAAGCAGAGAGAGAGAGAGAGAGAAGAGAGATGAGAGAGAGGTGGCAAAGAGGAAGGAAATAAGCAGGAAAGGCAGAAATAAAATGACAGCGAAGGCATATGCAGTTAGAGGCGGGACGAAGAGAGTCGCGGCACCCTCTACCTGCCGCCGTCGCTCGCCATCTTTCCGTCTCTCCACTTCAAGGACAATGACAAGGGAACATAAACAAAAAAACACCAACTCAAATAAACAAAATTTATTTTCCTTATCTTCGCCTGCCGATGCGCACTCCATTACAACCCTTTGCTGCAAATGTCTGGGTAAAAAAGAGGGGTGCCGCCGCATATCCCACGCGAGGAGACGCACAGGCAGAAACAAATATTTTCCTAAACGCCTCCCTCCTCACCGCCACACCCCTCGAAGGAAAAGCAGAAATACCACATGAAATTTGCGGGCATCCCCTCAGCCGGAAGGCCACACGCCTGGTAGAAACAACACCCCTCCCCCCTCCCCCTTCCTCCATTTCCTTTCTTCGTTGCCGCTTCACTCCTCCTTCCGTCGTTTCTATTCTCGCCTCCAGTTCTTTCCGCCCCTCCTCAATGCTGCCATCGTCCTCCGCTGCGCAGCCGCGTGTGGGAGGTGTCTGCGGTGGGGAGTTTCTGGTGTATGCAAGCGTGAAATGAGGGGGCAGCGCTACGCTGTTGGCCCACCGTCAACGGCGCCGCACCATTGCCCCCTCCCCATGCCTCTCATGTTTTTTTTTACTCCACACGTGTTCGCCCGTCTCGCCACCGTTGACACAACGCGCAGGGTGGGCGGGCGGGCGGCAGACACAAACACGGAGAGTTGCAGCAAAAAAAAAAGCAAACAAGAAAATGTAATTCAAGCGATGACGTTCATGCACGCAGGGACACGTTACATAGAAAACCCCACACAGACAGACGCCTAGAGGGTGACTCGAGGGAGAGAGAGAGAGAGAGAGGCAGTGAGCAAGGGAGAGAAATCAGGAAAACATGTCCAGTACCCAAACTCCCCCCCCCCCCACCACGCCTTACATACGCACCTCTTTTTTTGTTGGCTTTCGTAAAACAGCAACTCATGCACGGAGAAGCAAACTGAAAACAAAACGAAGGAAGGGAGAGGAGACAACAAGGAGAAATTCCCGTTTAATAATAAACAAAACGAAAATCAGACATAGATTGTCCAAGCAGGAGCGCAATCCTGGGATTTGCCCCTCCCCCATCTCTCCTTTCCCACCGTATCTGCTTCCCCCGCGTTTTCTCTTGAGATAATTGAGAGAGCAGGAGGTTGGGCAAAAAAAAAACAAGTAATCGAAGGATAGCACCCGCCGTGGATTCATCGCAGCTGGATACGTGTATGTATCAGCTAGAAGTAGCCACATATGCCTAGACTTGACAATGGCAAGGGGCTGAAACGTCACGAATAACACTCACCTCTCCTCAATGATAAAAGTGATGATTATTCTCATCATTTCAAGAGGCTGAAATAGAATTAGTTTGCGAGTCCGTAGGGACAGCCGCATTTGCTGTAAATAACCAGCCAGCCATCCAGCCAGCAAGCACACGCACGCACACACTTAAGAAGGTGGGTGTTGCCGCATCTTACCCCACCCCCCTCTCTCGATCCCCGCATGAGCGTAGGCGACGCACAGGAGTGTGACCATGTATGTTACACGCAAGCGAGCCACACTTATAGCGGTCCGGATAACACAGGTGCGTGTGTGCTTGCAAGAAGGTGGTAGACAAAGAAGAAAAAATGACTGAGCGGGAAGCCGTTGAGAAAAATCAGTTAGCTTCGAATTATTATTATTATTATTATTGTTTTTGTTTTTCTGTTTGTTTTTCACTCTCTACCCCTCTCTTACACTTTCTTGCCTTCCCTCACACAAGCGCAAAAACCAAAACCAAAAACAAACACTTCCTTCGCTTTTCCTCGGAGATCCAATATATATATATATATATGTATATATAAGGCTTTCCTTCTCGGCTACTGTCTGCTCCAACTGAGGGGTTGTCTCCGTCCAGACGGGCATAAGCCTGGTTATACACCCAGTGAGCGTTCAAGGAAAACAAAAACAAACAAACAAACAAACGGAAAACAAAAAAGGAGGAAGTAACAACGAAAGACGTGGAGAGGAGAGACAAAGTTAGCCAACAACAACAAAAAAAAACCGCAAAAAAGATGCAGAAACTATCCCCTCCCTTTTTTTCCCCCTTTCACCCACCCGTCCTCCTCGCTTCTTCCTTAGCGGGTCATGTAGGGAATGCATATGCGCGGGGGCAGTCTCACAGGCCACCTTTCGTGCCATCTTCCTCAAACAAACAAGAAAAAAAAATCTCCTCAGTGTTTACTTCCGTTTCTTCTCTTCCCACCGTTACAGCCACACGCATCCCTCGCTTCTCCTCAACGTTCCCTCTGCAGCAATATCCCACAGATACGCCAGTTCTTGGATGCATCTACACCGGACGCCCCCGACCGGGGGAAAAGGGCGTGTCACTGTAAGGTCCCTTCGGCCTCGCAATCCCGAGGGATGTGTAGCTGCTGCGTAGCTCCCCCCAGTGGCGGATGCCTTTGAAGTCCATCGGTCGCAGCGCCCCGGGTGTGGGTTGTCCCCAGTTCAGCTGTGTGTTTTGGTTGGGGCGCAACGCTGGTGACTGGCGGTCGCCTCCTGGAAGAATACGCTTCACCGTCACCTTCTGCTCAGTGAGGTCAAAAGAGAGGCCGTAGGAGTGGCATAGTTGCTTCAGCAACTTCAGTTCATCCTTGCTGAGCTCGCTGCGTTGGCACACGAAACCCTCATGTTCCGTACTGACGCGAAGGTCACGGATCAGCTGCTGCAGGGAGGTTTCCCTCTCCCGCTCCGCTGCCCCCTTTTCCTTCTTTTTAAACTCAACCTTGAGTTGGCGCGAGCCAACGAAAAACCGCTCAAGGCGCAACTTATTTTCCTCGGCAACCTCACGGTTGGGGTACTTTACAAAGACGACGTTTTTGAACACCCCCCTCTCACTGCGATGCAGGCGAATGTACGACGGCTTCTGAGGAGTGACCTTTTCAACTTCCTCAAGGATGCGCTCCGTCTTGGACAGGCTTGGAAGCCCTTTTAAGACCAGCGAAGTGTTCAGAACAGAACGATTGCGAGCCACAATAATCACAGTGGCCTGCGGCCACCTTTTCTTCAGCCACTCACTGGCCTTCTCTGCCTCACTACTTTCGGCATAAAGAAGAGAAATAAGGTGGCCCCGTGAAAGTATTTCAGAAGGGACAGACGCTGGGAGGACCAAGTCAGGAGGCAGAGCGCCGTTTGGTGACTCGTCGCTGTCGTCGGCCGGCGTCATAGGAGCCGCTCCCGACGCTAACGCCATTGGTGTACGAAATGGTGATAGACTCACAGCGTGATGACTTAACTTACGTGTCGATGGCGCCAAATCATCCATGATTGCTGATTCCGCTGAAGTAACCGCTGCAGCCGCCGGTACGAAAATGGGAGCCCCTGCATCTGAAGCAGGAGCAGCATTGTTTTCATTAGTGGTAGAATTCACTACTGTTGAAAGCACTGATGGCGCCGCTATTGTTGTGCCAGCTGCGGTGGCTGTAGTGGCATCAGCACCGCTGGTTTGTTCCGCGCTGCCCTGTTCCGTGGTGCCAGACGCCGTGCCACAATTCCTTCTGGCAAACAGTACACGCGGCGATCCAACGTCGTAGACACGAAGTGGCGTTGTGGCGTTACAGTTCAACTCCGAGTTGAGTGTGGCGAAGGAGACTCCCTTTGGAAGCACGCAGTTCACAAAAAAATCATCCATGTCCTGCTGCCGCTGAGAGATTCGATTTTTCCCACGGCGTCCCCTGCGCGAACGATGCCCTCCTTTGCCTGGAGAAGCGTTCTCCTTCTCGGACTGGGCCTCCGGTAAAACGGCGGGACTTGGCACCATCGGTTGTGTTGAGGCAGCAGTCTGCGGCGAGTCACGCCACGAACTGATGACAAACATCTCCTTCTGCTTCGCCAGCGGAATAAACTCGGGTGTAAAGGGCATTTTTTTCAGTTTTTCTATTTTTAGCGTTTATTTTTATTTCTTCTTTTTTTTTGGTCTTGTTTTGTTTCCTCGCCGTTGTTAATTCTTCTGCCGCCTTGCACCCCCCCCCACCGCACTGCCTGGCAGACAAACACGTCACGGCGCCGCAGCGAAACACACACACACACACCCTCGCAGGGAGTCAAGCACAGTCACAGGGCGCCGTGGACTGGTTCAGGAGAAAATAACTGCAATGAAATGTAAGAGATCTTCGCAGGGCGTGCTGGTCCCCTCGCCTCTTCTTATCACCTTTTTTTTTCTTTTTTCTCGTTCCTCCTTCTTTTCCTGTCGACCTCCCGTTTTTTTTTCTTTTCTCTTACTTTTAAGAATGCAATTTTTTCTTTTTTCTTTTTTCTTCTGCCTTCCTTTTTTTTTTTTTTTTAGAAAAAAGGTTTAAGCTTCTCTCAGTGGTGTGCGCCTCCTTTTTGATTTGTTGCTTCGACGAAGTTGGCGCCACTTCCAGCTCAGTTATGCGTGGGAGGAACGAGGCCTGCTCGCCCGTAGTCTTCTTCCTCCTGATTGTCGTCAGTGAAGCCCGCGCCCTCGCTTCTTCCTGTTCCGCTGGTCTGACGGGGCCGGCCGGCACGAGGGGAGCGGAGGATGCGACGCGACTGCGGTACCTGTCGTCCTGCTTACCACAGCGGGAACGAAGCGACAGTCACGCACGGAGGAAGAGACGGCAGGGACAAAGAGGCTTCTCTTTTGCCCCGCTTCCCCTGTTTCCTTTTTTTGTTTTTGTCTTGTTTCCTTCTTTCCTTCCTTTTGCGTTTCCTTTTACGCTTAACTTTTTAGATGCGCGCTCCGTCTGCTTCGATGTGGTCGAGCGAAGGCGCACGCACCACACTTCGGCAACGATCCCCGAGTCTCCGTGCAGGCACTGCCCGACACAGCAAGGCGCAAAGAGGATGAGTACCGCGCGGTGCCGGGAAGCGAGGAAACCGACCGCCACCCCCCGTGCTATTCAGGCTGCAAGCAAGAACCAAGGACAACTTGAGCCACGTGTGCGTGGGTCAAAGGTGGGAGGCGGCAACAACGGAAAGGTGAAAGAGAGAGCGAGCGAGGAAGCGGGGTGTGTAGCACAGCGAGCGCACAAGGGAATAAGCGGAGGCGGTCTCCACCGCACCGAAGCCACACCTCCTCCCCTTCCCATACCAGTCACATAAGCAGCAGGCCGCACCGCACATATGTGTGCGTGTCTGTGCGCCGCTCCCTCGTACAGAGGCACAACTCTCCAGGCGCCGCACAAAACCGCAGCGTCGTCCCTTCTCCTTTCCCCTATTGTGTCTTAGGTTTAGTTAAAAATTTTCTCTCTTCTTCCTTTCATTCTCTTCCTGTCACAGTTCTGTTGCCTGACGCTTTTTAATTAACGCCTCTCACACCTCACCGTCTCATTCATTCATTCAGCCCTCTTTTTTTTTTGTTTTGTTTTCACGGTTTTTGTCTCACATTCATTCCATTCGGCTTGCATGACGGCGAGGCACCGAACTCTGCCACCGCCTCCACATCCACCGGAGAAGTGTCAAGCCAACACGTCTCCCCCGCCAGCAACGGCAGTAGCAACACCTGCAACATTAAACGTCTGGCCGCGGCGACGGCGAGAGGAGTCAGGACGACATCCCCCGTTAACGACACGCACAGCAACAAGGCCCCTGCAAGCCCCGCACGAGGCAGTCCGGTACTGGAGCTACTTCATTCTCTCTCGCCCGCTCTCCGTTCCGCCCTCCAACTGCACACATACACAAGGCCATAGGTATGTAGATGTGTGCGTGTGTGTTGCCTTAGTTCAGCGAGTGAATCTCTAAGTTCTGCTCTGTCGCCATGTTCTCATCGAGAAGAAACCGCTTAATCTCCTCGCTCCAGTTGCCCTGCAGCTGAATAACAGTGCCCGCATCCGGTGTTGTGATGACAGTGCCGTTGCAACCCCAGCGCCGCTGAAATTCACGGCTGATGCGGCGGAAGTTAAGCGCCTGGTTGAGTCCTTGCACGGATGTGACAAATTTCTTCCCCTTACGCTGCTGTACGCGAATGTGCACCTTCTGCGCTTCCAGCGCCTCCAGCACGGAGCGCTTCTGCTGATCCACGAGCGTGGCAACCCCGGCGTTTAGCATTACTGGGTATGCGTCTGCAAGTCCTTTACTTTGCCTGGCGGCTTTTTATGTTTATTCACCCACAAAGCGCCTTTTCCTGCCCGTTCGTTCCTTCCTTCGCTCCGCGCAGACGTTTGAAGGCATACACCAGAGTATACATAGAGAGAAAAAGAGGAGGATAAAGAGAAAGGAAAAAACAAAAACAAAACAACAGGCAGAGGGTTGCAGTGGCGGCGGCAAAAGAAGAAGGACAAAAACCATCGACCCTCCTTGCAAACGACACCACCACCACAAAAAAAAAAAGAGGGTACCAACGAGAAAAGTGAAATACGGCAGGGCACCACCAACAGCACCCGCCCCTCCCCATACATCAACATGACGATTTCACTTTACGTTTCTGCTCTGAAACAGCCGTGGCAAACAGGTGGAGAAGGATATCACCACCGGCACACCAAACTTCTCCAAAACACCCCTGCTGCTTGTGTAGCAGATGCGCTGCGACACCTCCTCTCCCTCTTCAGCCTCCGGCACGGGGTCCACAGGCCGTGCACGATTGCCATGAATACGTCGGCGTTTTTCCATAGACTTGCCTACGTTGTACGCCGACACGCCTCCCGCCGAGGTTATCAGCATCGCACCCGCCGTGTCGTGTTCCCCCGCCGCCGCCGCTACACGAACTTCCCGCGCTCGTTTATGCGCCCTTCGTAGCCGCTCCTCCCGCGGTATTGTTGACAGCGGTCGCAACCGGAGAGTTGCAGCCTTCGGTGCGTCTGTTGCGGCGGCGCCTTTGCGATGCGGCACGTTCTGTCCCATGCGCCGCAGTGCACGCTGACGCTCCTTCTGCCGCTCCTGCCGCTCCTCCTGCTGGAGCATCGCCTCCGTCGTCACCTCCGCGTCGTGCAACACGCCCTCCACCTCCTCTTCAGAGAAGTCGCTGTCAATCTCGTCCATCGCCTCCTCCCCGCTGCTGCTGAAGGCGCTGTCAGTCGTGGCCTCGCTGAGGTCGTTCAACAGGTTCTCCTCCTCCGAGTTGAGCCCCTTCTCAAGGAGCTCCTGCATCAAGTTGCCGCGGTTGGCGCGTCGCGGCCGCAGGCTGTCCTCCACGTCCCACTTCCCATCGTCAGCAGCGGTGCTCATCGGTGGTTGGCCGTGGCCGACGGGCACAACACCGCGCTGCCTCCTTCGCTTTCTTTCTCTTGCCGCTGGGTTCAAGAGCTGCGGGCGCACAATCCCACGCGCCTCGCAACGGGCAAGGTGAAGAGGCAAATGAAAATAATAATAATAAAAAACGCGGAATAAAAAGAAACGTGCAAGTACTTTCCAAGACAACGGCAAGCACGGGGAGACGCGGCGAAGATTGACACGACTCGGAGCAGACAACAGCAACAACAAAGTAGCAAACGGAGAGTAAAAAAAGAAGAAGAAGAAAAAAAAAAAGGTGAATTCAGCAAACGCAGGGAGGGCGGCGATAAATCGGCCACGCGCGCCTTTACGACGACCACCCCTCCCCTTCTTCCCCACTCCCTGCCGACCCACAAACTGCAGAGATAATGCCGGCTGTTTCCCCCTCCCCCTTCCCCTCCACCCGCACCCGGGCTAAAAGGACTGCGAGAGTCCGTGAAGGGACATGCCACGACACCACCCCAACACAGTTACTTTTCCTGCCTTTCTCAACTTCTTTTTTTTTTATTTCTTCACCCTATTATTCTCCTGATCGCTCTCCCCTGGTGGAGTGGCGGCATGGGACGGTGGGGGTGCCGCGCGCAATCTCAGAGATGATGACAGAAACTTTGCATTCCCCACCCCCTCCTTTTAAGTTATTCTTCCTCCAGTTGACCTCTCGTCACCACACCCTTTTCTCCTGGCGTTTTGTTTACGCCATTTTGGGTGGTGGCGATGATGACGGTGGTGGCGGCGGATAAGGAGGACACTCCACTCCCTACTTCCTAATTCCCTTACGTCCTGCCCATCCACAATGCCTTGTTGCCGCGACGTTTGGATGCGTTTCGCCACCTCATTTGTCTGAGGTTTTACTTCCACCCTTACCGCTCCATGGAGCCAAGTATTTGGGCAATGCGCACAAAGATGTTGACGACGTTCAGGAACATTTGCAGAGCATCCTGCACGTAATCGCCAGCGCCGCAGCGGGCTCGTTCAATCATGGCCTGCGTATCCACCGACACAAAAAGCGAGAAGAGCGCAAGGCCGCCGTACAGGATGAGTGAGTGGGCGAAGGCAGTTGGGTAGAAAAGGTTCAAAATCGAAATTGCCACCATGCCCATTAGCATCCCGAAGAGTGGACCTTGAAGCGCCAGCAGAGAGGCCCGGGGGCATAAGAGGGCGGCAGCACTGAAACCGAAAAACACCGCCCCTGTGAGAACAACGGCGGTGCCAAGAACACCTTTAGCCAGCGTCATCGCTACCAACGGAGCCAGTGCCATGCCCTCAAGAAGAGTAAATGAAAAAAAGAGGGCTAGCTTCAACGTCGGGTCTCGCGGTGGGGCAAAGGAGAGCCACAAAAGCGGCACAAATCCACCCACCATAGGCAGCCAAAACGGCATGGACTTTCCTAAGGCCGTGGCAAACATCAAGAAGGAACCAACACCAGCCACGGCTGAACCGGCGGCAAGAAGTCCATACACTTTCGAAAGGTGCTGGCGGACGTACGGCGTCAGGCTATCGGCAGTGCTGCCACCCCCAAAGTTCTCCCCGCCGTAGCTCATCGGGGAGGTTACCGGCTTCACCATTTTTACCCCACGCATGCGCTGCAGTGGCTGCAGGGAGAAGCCGCGCCGTGACAGGCGGAGAGTTGGCGGAGCCATCAGCGAGTTCTCCTTCAAAGCAGGGCAACTGCGTGTCTGTGGCTGCTGAAGCCACCTTCCCGCAATAAAGATGCTCAAGCCCGTTGCCATGCTGAGGCTACGGGAACTCACGCAGGGATTGAGCCGACGCAACATGTTTATTTTTATCGCTTTCGCGCACACGCTGCGGGCGGGCGGGCGGGCGGGTGAGTGGGTAGATGTACTCCTTTGCTAGTGTGAGGACAGCCCTTTTATTATTCAACTCCCTCGCTTGTGTTCCTCGTTCCTCCTCCTTTTACGTGGACCTCTATACAGTGCGCTCTATCTCCCACAGCACTCAGCACAATCAAAAAAATAAACAAACACAAAAAACAACAACTTACCAAACAATAATCTCTCTCTCTCTCTCTTCTCTCTGACAAACACTTCCCATGCACCCGATTGAAGACCAACAACAAAAAGGAAAGAACAGTAAATGTCTACACTCGCCAGCAACGCACAGTGATCGCAGCCCCGAGGGTAGTCTGAATGTGCATGTCAACAGGGACAGGGACATATACATGTGTAGGGAAGAATACGCTGTCCTCCATTTACACACCATTAATTATATATATATATATATATATGTAGTCGAAACACTCTCCCTCTTCTTACTCGATGTTGTCGCGGCCCCTGTCGCTGAGACATGGCCCTGATTACTATAATAGCGGAGAGAAGGGCGAACATTAATAACGATCCTGAGCAAAGCCAGACACGATACGCCTTGTCGCGTTCGCTGTGCTGCACATCCACCCACCCACAGCTGTATAGATGAGTGTCTTTGTCGTTGTGTTCCTCATGCCCCTTCTTCGGCGAGTATCGCCTGTACAAAGGCCAAACCACACGTGTGGGCGAGGCACACTCGCATAGTGCCCCTTTGAAAGCATCCACCCCCCCCCCCAAGACACCCCTCCGTCTGATTCTCTTCAGGGTGCCATCACGGCAGAGACCAAAGAGCGAGACATGCAAGGCAAGAGCCGTCAAAAGGCACAGCGTTAGCATTATGGTTGCAAAAGACACACGTGAAGAACACAGCAGCAAAACAACAACAACAAAAAAACAAGCAAACAAAAACACCCTTTCGCTCTGTTCATTCACACACCTGCGGCATTCGCTCCCTCCGCCGCACCCCACTTTTGTCCACGGCAGACACACGACTGTGATATTTGCGGCAGTCATCCACACACACTCCCCTTCCTTTTTTTTTCTTTTCTGTTCTCCCTTTACTTCTTTCCCTTCCGATGCTTCTTGTCTCTCGCAGCCGCTGCAGGGCCTTTTCTGTCGCCGCCCTTCTTGGCCTTCTTCTTCGCCATCACCCCAGCGGACCGCTTTGTTTCACGCTTCTGTTGTTTCCCCTTCTCTTTACCCTCCCGCCCCATCCGCGCAGCCTGCCGCGCCATCGTGCGGTTTTCCACCACGGTGTTCACTGACTGCTGTAACTTCTCTATCCGCCCCGCCCACTTTTTCGCCGATCTCCGTTTTTTGTTGCGTCGCTTTGCCAAGGCCTTCGCCAGGCGCTTCGGGTCGTCCTTCACCTTCGCCCCGGACGCGCGGCGCAGGGCAATGTCAAGCAGATCCGCCTGCCGCTTCTCCAGGCCTGTCTCAGATCCCAGCAGGGATGCGTGGGACTCCGTCTGCCGCTTGGCGTGGCGAAGCAGCGAGGCCAGCTCGCGCACGCCGCCCCCCCGTTGTCCCACGCGCTTCATCTCCTCAAACTCAAAGTTGCCAAAGGAGAGATTGAGCGGAATGGCATCCTTCCCCGCCCCGGCGGCCACACACCCCGTCGTCCTCGACGCCGATTTTGGACGTCCACGGAAACCCATATGGCGTCGTCAGGGGGTTCACTACAGCTTGCAAAGCAAAAAACAAAAAAAATGCATATACACATACAGTAGAGAATAAGGCTAAACATAAACAAACAAAGGACAAGGTAGACGTCGTGCGATGAATCAGGTGGAAACAGCTGCGGTCCAAGGTGCACGTGAGAGGCTCGCTTGATGCTGGTAGCAAATATGTATTCCCTAGCAGCCAAAGAGGGCCATGCATCCCCTTTGCATCCTCCTCCCTGCCCCCCCTCCCCCAGGAGAGCACACGTCAGCAGTCATAACTGTACCGCACCTGCCCCACTTCCCCAAGAGGGCCGGAGCGACGCTTAAAGGTCATTGGCTTCACCGTGTCAGCGCTCCGATTGGCGAAGCGGAGTGCGAGCAGCGCGTACTCCTCCTCCTTTAAGTGATGTACCACGACGGAGCGAGACGTGACGCGCGCCCTATTGGCGCCCGTGTGAACATCATGAAAGCGACACGTTTTTTCAATCACAAAGGCAATGTTGGGCCTTCTCATCTCGTAGAGAGCCCGCCCCAACATCACATCCTCGTGCTCGGCATTGAGGGAACTAAACCGGGCGGCCTCAGCCCGGTTGGAGGAGTCGAGAGGCGAATCTAAGAGGCGACGTAGTGGGCTGAAGGCGGTGATGTCCTCCACCACGTCTCTCGCCATCGTGATGCACATGCCACCGACAAAGTAAAACACGCTGCTGCGGTTGCCCTTTTGGGGCAACCATTGCATCACCCGCCCCCAGTACAGCCCACGACGAGGCAGTGCGTGCAAGTCGGCAAGAAACTGTGGGACACGAATAAACACATCATCGTCGGCCTTTGCAATGTAGCTTGCATGAGGAAAAAGGCGAAGCGCGGTAGTGTACCACATCATAGACTTGCGGCTTGTGCCAACCTCTGCTGCCAGTCCCCAATGACCACTACCGCCAATGCGTTTCCCTGTAGTGGGGCGGCCATCGTTCATGGCTAACGCCAACACATCAGAGAACTGCGCGGCCTCCTCCTGCACAGCCGACGAGTAAACATAGCCTTGTGAGTGGTGACGCCCAAGCACAAACAAGACCAGCATATCCCCGGTAAAATTATTCGCCCTCGTGGCGACCCCAACATAGCGTAGCCACGATGCACGCTGCAGGTCACGACGCAGCCTGTGCGGCGGGCTGTCCACAGACGGGACACCGAGCACGACTAAAAAACGCCGCTCACACCACGTCTTCCAAGTACGGTATGGGATGTGACGCAGCACCTCCGGCCCACTCCCCAGGAGGAAGCGGTAGAGCGCCTCAGCAGGGACCGCGTCCACGCTCCACGGCATGAGTGGTGGGCCAACAGCGGCGTCCCGTGACAAGGGCGCCACAACGACGACGACCACCACCGCCAGAACGCACACCAGCCCGACGAGAAGCAGGGCAGTCTTTGCCCTCGCCTTGGCCCGGCGACGCGGGGCGGCGCGCGACATCCCCCGCTGCCAACCCCCCCCAAAGAAAAGGAGAATAAACAGACAAACACAAAATATATAAGAAAAAAGACGACCAAAAACATAATAATACGACGAGGTGTCCGGAGGGCGAAACCAGCAACAAAGTGAAAAAATAAAGGGCCCATAGAAGAGCGCGGGTCAGAATAAAAGTGCCCCACCGGCCCACTTGTGCAGTCACTCAAACACACACACACAAAGAGAGAGAGAGAGAAAGACCACAGTTTACGCTTCGCCCAATTTGCCGAGATGATCGCCGAGTTTGGTGGCAAGCAACTCTGCTTGCCGTTGGCGCACAGCGCGGGGAAGTGCGTGACCGTGGCGCCTCATCTTATCCATCCACACCATGAGCTCCTGTTCCAGCTCCTGCTGCTTCTGCTGCAGCGGGCATTGTTCTCGCCCACCCAACGTGCCGTCACCCGCCACAGTCAGAGCCTCAACGTGCACGGACTTTTGAGTGAGTGGGTCTACGAGGTAATCTGGTGGGAGCTCACAGCCAACCACCAACGCGGCAAGCACCGCATCCTCCACCTTGCACTCTTCTTTCTCCTCCACAGACAACCTGCCTGTGTAATGCCTCGTCTCTGTCTCGTCTTTGGCTTGTTGTGCTTCCTGCTGTGGCACTTTGGTCGTCATCGTCCGGAGCGGCCACACATGCTGCTGCACAATTTCTCGGAGCCGCGTCACCCCGTCCACCTCACCCACACCATACAGCACCTCAATAGGCATCGCAGCAAGAAAGTCCTCCTCCGTGTCACTGCTGACGTCGTCCGAGGTTTTAGAGGATCCGCCGCTGCCGTCTTTGCACACACGGGACACGTCCCCCGTGGCCTCAGCTAGCGCCGTGTCACGCGTTGTTAACGCGGCGTGAAGTAACATGTCGTCAACACGCGTGGCAAGGGGATCGTTCGCCTCGTCACCGTCCACTACGTACCACACGTGCACTGGCGCCGCCTCCGCCGCTGCGCACAACTGAGGCGTTATATCCCTGCCGTGCTGTTCGTCGTCAAGAAGGAGGCACTCGGGGTTACAGATGCTGCGGCGAGAACGCTGGGCACCGCAACACTTTTCAAGCGCCGCTTGCACAGAGATGCAAGTTGATGCGTCAGACATCTCCGCCTTCGTCAGGAGAGCAACGACACCAAATGTGTTTAGCTGCTCTGCAGTGAGTTCAGTTTCCCGCATAACGGCGCTTCGAGCCCCACCGAAGGAGTGTACGTTGACGGTGGCGTCGAAGTAGCGATTGCAGACATTTACTGTCGTCAGCGGTGCATCAATGGAGGAGGACGTCAACGAGAGCAGAGCCACCGAGTTGGGGCCCGAGGTGACAGGGAAACACCTTTGTAGGGTTGTGCACAAAAGCTCCTCCTCCTCCTGAGTGGAGGGGGCACACGCCCACAGCAGTACACGATTCGAAGGCTTCCCCGAGGTCAACAAGGACGTCGTCGGCGGTGATGATGGGGCGGGAGTGCGCTGCGGCCACTCAATCGTGTGAATGATCTCCGCAAGCCGGTCAGCTCCAGAGGTGCCAAACTCACGTGCTTTCTCCTCGTCGCGCGCCAACTCCGAATCCGCTACGCACACCACCTCAATCCCCTGCTCCTCGATGTAGTGCATCTCAAAAGGAGACAGGGACTCGCCCGCACTTCTAGCAAGGAGGACACAGTCGTCTACGCCCCACAGACGGAGGTGCTCGATGAGGACGGGCAGTTGCGGAAACGTCGTTCCCTTCCCTGCCCGCCCTGGCAGCGTGGGGGGCCAGGGAACAATGGCCAGTTTGGGACGCCTGTCAAGGTACTGGGCCAGAAATAAATCCACCATGGCGGGACAGAACAACGCAGGGTGCAGACACTGCACCCCCACCGTCGCAGTGTAGTACTTGTTGGCAAGTTTCAGTACTTTCTGCTCTCCCTCCTCTGAGCTCCTCCAGGACGAGGTTTCTCGTTGCTCCCGAGTCTTGGCCTCCGCCCCCAACGGCCACTGTGCAGTGAAGAAGCGACGATCCCTGCAAGCTGTACACAGCCAATGAAGGACGTCCTCCCCATTGACACCTATAACCGCCAACAGGTTAGTGGAAGCCGCGCGACGCCTTACCACATGCCTATCAGCATCACTGCAGGTCTCGTTGAACACACGACACGACTCCGGCCACATTGTGTTGTGAAGAATCTGACACAGCCGTGCAGCCCCTCGATGATCTCCCCCGAGCAGACCACTCCGCTCTACCCCTGCTGGCAGCACCTCAAAGCCCTCCGCATGCGGCACGTACTCAAAACCATTGGCCACACAGGCATCGTACCACATTTCGTCCCGCACCTTCGCGCCGGCTCCTCTGAAGTTCATCACAACACGGAAAAGGCACAAATGGGGAACATGGTGCCAGGAAACTTGATCCGGATGCACGGACCCGTCCACAAGTAATACGCAGCCCGTCTTCTGCACAGATGGCGGCTGCATCAACCTCGACACCAGCGAGGCATCTGCTGCGTCTGCTACCTCAGCAGCAGTGGCAGCCATCAGGGCATCACTATCAGTGATCACGACACGAACGCTTGCAGAGAAGTACTTGTTGCTGACAGGGATGCTGGGGAGGGTGGCGCTCCCACCACCGTACACACTCGCCGCAACTTCCTCAGGCCAGCGGAGGAGTTCCGCTCCGAGTTGAAATGCCTCGCCTCCACTGCCACTGTGGCACTCCACTAGGAGGAGGTAGCCAGAGTCCGCGGTGGGAGCCACAGACAAGTTTGGCTTTGTGCCTCTTGTCATCTGTGAAAAATAGATAAATGTGTGTGGAACCCCCCCCCTCCCGCTCCCCCCCAAGCGTAACTAGAGTTCTCCTAATCAACACGGAGAGAATGAAGAATAAAAGAGGAAAAAAAAACCAAGTGGGGTTGTACACAGGCAAATGTAGTCAAAAGCACTTCACTGCGGCAGGCTGAGTGTTGCCGTTCTAGGGAAGGATACCGCCTCGTTTTCGCTTCCGTCGGTTGCTCAATCCGCCTGAGCATATCAAATAAAAAATAAAACAAATTAAAAGACTAAATAAAATTATATATCAAAAATGGAAGTGCAAACAACAATGAGGGATACAGAAATATAAACTATACATCGGAAAAACACCCAGAACAAATTTTAGCAAAGCCACAAAGAGCGCACAGCCAAAGGAGAGGTAGGAGCTGAATACAGGAATAATGAATGCCACGACGAAGGCGAGCACCCAGTGGAGCCACCCACCCTACACTCCTAAACTTATATACCCGCGAGCTACCTCCATGGGATCCTAGTACACCGTAACACTCCCACGTAGGAGACGCATCAGGCGTTCGTCAGAGCGACGACTTAGTGTATTGTTTGCATTCGACTTCCGCCTCGGTGGACACCGAGAAGTGAAACCTGAGGCGGCCTTAACCAGCTGCTCCACCGCGGGGTCTTCTGCCTCACCTCGAGCAACGAGGCATGTGTGACACACCCGGACAAGCGGCGGCAGTGGCAAGGACGCTGAAGCGAGCCTGGGGCAGCCTGCGTTATGCGGGGCGGACTCCGCCGAGGAGGATGACTCCGGGCGGCGGGATCCACCGGCGGCACTAGAGATAAGTGCGCTGCGCCAGAAACGGTGTGAGGGTTCGGCGGAGCGGGTTTGTCTCTCTGTCACTCTGCACCGGCTGGGTGAAGACAACGGTGTCGTGGCACTCCTTGTTGAGGTCAAGGTTGTGGCTAGGCTGCTAAAGTCCACTGAGGGGCTTCGCAGAAACCCTGTTCGCACGTGCCGTCCATAGTACTCCCTAGCCTGGTTCATCTGCTCTATTCGCTGCAGCACGCAGAGGTGGTGTCGGGCGGAGTTCAGCTGCCTGTCAAAGTCGTTCTTCCCACGCACCCACCTGAGATGCGCGTGAGCATTGTACCCATTGCGCACAAAGGAGGAGTATAGCGGGGAACTCTCCGTGGATTGCAATATGATGTACGGTTCCGTGCGGTTTCGCACCTTGTACTCTGCCGCGGTGAGGGGCCGCTGTGGCACGTACAAAGAATAATCATCTGGACTCACCCGTTTGCCGTACATGGTGAGCTGCACTCTAGACGTGCTTCTTTTCCTTTGAGAGGAGGAGTTTTTACTGGCACCCGCTAGGTATATTGGTTTTATGCATACTGCGCCCACACATACACACACACACACACACACACACACACACAGAGAGAGAGAGAGAGAGAGAGATACGGCCCCTCGACATATACGCAATCAACCCCAGCCAACAGATCAATAAAGACACAAACAAAATAAAAACGGAAAAAAAATGGTGCTCGTTGACTGCGGCAGGCCACATCCACAAAAAAACAACAACAACATGAAGGAATAAAAAGAATAAAAGTGCGGTAATGCAGAAACAATGCATTCCATGCGCCACTGTCAGTTTCAAAAGATCCCCTCCCCCCACCGCCCATCGCGTGAGCACGCCATGCTTACAGTTCTCATCCACTCACAACGTCCCCCACAGTCGATAGATGCCTCTTTCCTCACGAAAAACAAACAGTTCATTGCCCTTTCAACGCCAGCCGCATGTTCGTGGCCCTCCCAAGAACCTTCACAAGTTCTCTCCGCTTCTTACCCGCATGAGCGCAGTACGCTGTGATGTTGCCCTGCGCCACACGCTGCGCCTCTACGACGGCCACAACCTCCGCTTCACTGCGTCGCCGCATTTCAGCCGCGTGTTCACTGTTCACGCCGCTAGCAGCGCCATCGTCACGGTTCCAGTAGAGAAGTGTCGCACGAAGTTGCTCGAGGCGCCGAGTAAAAACGCCGTGCTCCACCTCGTGCGCTTCTGTGACGTGTGCGACCTCCGCGTCCAGCGCCGCCAGGCGCTCCTGCAGCTGACGAATGGCTTCGTCCAGTCGCCCAGCCGCTAGCAAACCTCGAGGGGTTGACACCAACGCATGTCCGCCACCACTCGTCTTTGCATCACCTCCCACCAGCGCCCCCGGTAGCCTCGTAGAAGCACCAGGGAGGGATGCATAGCGTTCGTCCTCCCGCTGCGGCTGGTTTTGACCGCCACTGGCACTACTAACACTGGTACTGCTACCAGTATGACGGGAACTAATACTACCTCTGTGGTTGCATTTCGTCTTTTGCCACAGCGGTGGTGACGCCGAAGATGCAAAGGCAGGCAGAAAATTCCGCACAGCGTGCATGCTCTCCAACTGCCGCCTCAACACATGCTCCTTCACCCGCAGCTGCTCATTATCAATCCTCAGTGCAAAGACCTCACTTTGAGCCACAGTGAGACGTCGCTCCGCGTCGGACACGAGTTCCCGCTGCATGGCCTCCTTCTTTGCGGCAGTCTGCAGCATATCCAGTTCGTGCCGCAGCTGTTGACAGCGCAGCAATGCCTCTGCTGCCTCGCACATGTGCCTCTTCCCTGCCTGCATCACAGTTGTTAACTGTGACTGATAAATATTCTCACGAAGGGAAAGTTCCTTCTGGAGCCGCTGCTCCGCAGCGTTGCGTTCGTCGTTAATGGTCTTCATCACCATCGCGACGGCGTCCTGCATCCGATGCTCCATCTGCCTGACGTACGCCTCCCACTCCCGCACCTGCGCCTCCCCGCGCCCACTATGCATGTCATCCTCGGCACTGTAGGGAGTGGGAGACGCATACTGTGCCTGCGGCTTTTCCTTTGCGGCGCCCAGGTGCTTCTCGGAGGTTACGCTGGCACCGCACGCACTGCCAGGCCTACTCTCATCCGTTGTCTTGCCAACACTGCAGGCGGCACTCGTGAAGACGGGTGACACTCTTGTGTTCTCGCCCATCGCCGGGTCCTCAAAAGATAGCGAGGCCTTTTTGCGTTCCCCGCTCCCACCCACGCGCCGCCCATCCCCCTCTGTCACCGCCAGGCGCTCCGCAAACGCGACACCCAGCTGATTGACCACTCGCAGCATCTCGACTTCGAGGGAGACGACGACAGGGCTCACAGCCGTGCTCGCACTCCTCTCCTGTTGGCGCGGCGTCGTCACCACGTCTGTGGCACCGGCTGGCGTGCTTTCCAGACTTCCAGTCTGGCCAAGTGTGGCGTTTTCATTACGGAGACGGTTACATTCCTGCTGCAACTCACAAAGCTGAAAGCAGAGCTTCTCATCCATCTGACGCCCGCGCGACCCCTCCTTCTCTGCACGTAGGTCCTCCACCTCCTGCAGCGCCTGCAAGCACTTCCTCTGCCAGACGGCGATCTCTCTCTCGTGGTCGCAGGACATGCGCTCCAGCAGGTCGAACTCACGGATGCGGTTTTGCTCAAATGCCTGGATATGATCACCGAGGAGAGTCATTTGAGACCGTGCCACTTGAAGTTCCTCTCTACCCGCCTCTTCCTCTGCCTTTAACAGCGCGCATTCACTGGACTGCGCTACCACATCCGCGCGCGCTTCATCCAACTGACGCTGTAGTTCGCTTTGAACTCTTCTGGCATCCTTTTGCATCGCCCTCTGCTGCTGCACCTGCCGCAACAATTCCTCCGTCTTCTGAGCGGTGGGCAGGCACTCCGTCAGCTTCCCCACCACCTGCTTCACGGCCAGTAGCATGGTCTTGCACCCCGAGTTGAACAGGAGGGCACACTGTTTGAAGTCCTCCAGCTTAGTCTCCACGCTGACCTTGTCCGTCTTCGCGCCCTTCCTAAAGTACCCATCCACCTTGGCCACAGCACCACGAACGTGCTGCTCGAACGCTGCCATGGCATCCTGTAGTTCCCTCTGAACGGAAGCGACGGTAACCGGCTCTGCAGCTGCATCCATTTCAGCGCAAGATGGGAGGTACAAGGACACAGCTGCGTAGGAGCGTTTGCCTCTCTGCTCCGACGCTTTCGTCTCCAAGAAAAATTAAAATAAAGAAACAAATAAAAATAAACACAAAGAAGGGCATAGCTGTGATAAACTTGCACTGCCGTCCACGTGCGTGGCTGGGTGTGTGTGTGTGTGTGTCCTCCCGCACGGCAGTGGGTCGCAAAGAGAAACACGTAAGAGTTGTGAAGAACAAAAAAAAAAGGCAAACCAAAGCAAAGCCCAAACAGGCGACATTTATATATATATATATATATATATATATACTTTGACGTACAGGCCCGCATCCGCATGCATGCGTGCACAACCTATGTGAACACCCCTTTCTGTTCCCCCCCCTCAAAAAGTGTGTGTGTGTGTGTGTATTTCTTCTTTTCTATTCTTCCTCACACACACTCTCTCACCCCCTTCTATTTTCTTCCACGACGCCGCCAGCGGGATTCGGATGCATCAACGCCTCTTTCTTTATTTCTTCCTCTCGCTTGATGTAAAGTTAGGAGAAAAAGTACGGCGAGTCTAGCACCACGCTCAAGTCGAGGTCCCCACGCTTCGGTGGATCCGGCAGGAGCGTGCCGTGTCGTCTGAGATCCATAAAGTACGCCTCCTCCCACTGCTCCTTCAGCTCCCAAAGCGGGTCGTATTTGCTATAGAGTGTCACAAACTGCTGGCGCAGCACTTTGCTCAGCACGGGGAGGTCGCAGGCGTACGTCCAGTAGCTGTCGTGCACGGCCATCATGGAGAGGCCAATGTTTTGCATCTCAATCGCCGTCATCGCAAGGTGCGTCGCGTCAAGCGAGTGAATCAAGTTTGGGGCGATAGCTGTCAGCTGCTTTCGGCTTGCCGCAGAAAAGGCGTCGCCTGGCACACGTGAGCACCCGTGTGGTGTGAAAAGCGTCATCTCCTTCCGCACCTTGTACGGCTGCCGCACTACGAGACCAAGCGGCGTGGTCCAGCACAGCGCCGTGCGCAGCTCCGCGGGTTGCGACTCCCATATCAGGTTCGTCACATCCGTGATCCAGCGTCGACAGTTCTGTGTCTCACGAAAGGTGATGCCAAGTGACTCCAGCACCTTCTCCCGCAGGTAGTCTGCCATCTCCCGCATGTCGGTCGAGGTCCACAGCCCGTGATTCTTGTTCTGCTTCACCAGCTCATCGAGGATCTGCTCCGACATGCCATAGCCGGTAACGCCGTACACCTGGGTCATAATAGGCCGCTTAATCGTCTTCCGCTTGACGTGGTTGCAGTCCTGCCCCTTCCCCGTGCCAAGGCAGCGCTGCGCCACGGGGCTGTCCTTTTCTGCGTCCGCCGTGATGGACCGCATCATTTCCCTCAAAATCCCAGTGTAGGCGTCGGCCGGTCGTTCACTCGGCACCAGGTTGACCAATTGTGCGCCAAAGGCGTCACGACCAATGGCCGAGTAGTGCTGCAGGCCGTTGTAGCTGCCGTCCACGGCAACCGGAATACGTGAGAGAAAGTTTGTCGCCCCCTGTGAACATTTGAGCGCGTCCGCTAACTCCTTGCAGGCCATGAGGCATTGCATAGGCTCCGCAGCCTCCTGCCACCACTTGTCGCCGTGGAACGGTGACTCCGCGCTTCGCACAACGTCCTCAATGTGCTCATTCACATAATGCACACGCTCATCAAAGGAGAGCTTGCTCATCCCCATCTTATTCGCTAAATGCACCTTCAGCCAATACAGTCCAGTCTCGCCGAGTGGCTTAGGCTCTGCATACTCTAGTAGGGCCCGGAATGGATCTGACCCCGTGTGATTCAGCCGCCCCGGCAGTGGATACATGCGTCCACGGAAGTCCATGCTATTCGGAAAGTAAATATGTGAGAACTGCACGAGTGAGCGGGCCTGCCGAAGCGCCTGCAGGTAGTGAATGCGGTTACTGCGCTGCTCTGACAGACTCTTCCAATCCTCATCTTGCTGTGTCTCGTACTCACGACGTTGCTGTAGGTTGTAGACCTCGCAATCGGCACTGCCATCTACATTCTCGGTAGTATCGTAGGAAATATCCCCGCGACTCTTGGCACAGTAGTGCAGAGGGTAGAAGGCGGGGCGGATCTTTCCAAAGCCGTAGCCCTCCCTCACAATGGCCTCCTGCACATGCAGCATGTATTTACTAATGCGCCATGGCACGCGGGAGATCGCGTCGAGGGCCTTCATCATCGGGGCCTGCGAGATAATCATCGCCTGGTTGGTGGACCCTTTCACCGCGACAGACGGAAGCACGTTGTACACCGACTTTTCCTTCGTGTCCGACTGATGCAGCCAGGAGTTGTAGGAAAGTTGCGGGGGAAAGGCAACCCGCAGATCTCGAATCTGCGTCGCCTCCATGTTAGACATGCCCACAATAGAAAACTCCTCGAGGCGGGTCACGCTGGTAAATCGCTCCAGTATGGGGCGACTGCTGCCCGCCCCACGCATGGACATGTGCAGCAGTTGAATCACCAGAAAACCCACCGCCTTCGTGGAAATAGGCGTCACCGCAAACTCCTGCTCAAAGTACTCACACGTCTTCACCATGTTGATGCTGTACCTGGTGCGAATCGTGGTGCGATCCCTTCCGCTGAGCTTCTTGAAGATGGTGTTAAACCGGAAGTGAAAGCGAAGATCCTCCGTGATCTTCACGAGCATGTGAAAAAGACCACAGGTGCGGGTACACCGTGAGGCGGTTGTGCACACTTCACGCAGGACGAGAGCCACCCGGGCGTTGTGCAAAGCGCTCTGCTCCGTGTCATGAAAGGCGCCTTGCATTTGGGAGAGGACGGCTGGAAAAAACTCAGCCTTCACAACACCGGAGTCACCAGGAGCCTGTACGTACGCAAAGAGTTTCGCCAAGGCTTGCGCCGCCTTTTCCTCATCCTTAAAGTGTGCCTCCATCGCTCGCCGCACTGCAGTTCGCACAGGCAACGGAACATCTGTAGGGACAATTATATCGCCGTACACCTTCTGCAGCAGATGGAAGCACACCACCCCGTTAAGAATGCAATCAAAGATGTACCGTGGCACATCCTCAAGCATTGGAATGTCTGTACGAACAATGGCATCCCAGTTGTTAAACATGCGTACTAAGTCGTGAACCCAGGCGGGGGCCCCCTCGCCCACCTCACCGTGTGGCTGCTGCGCCCAGCTGTCTGCAAACGCGTGAACGGAGCTACGCAACACCTCTGGTGTCTCTGTGCCCCACGAGGTACGCTTGTCACCAAAGCACCCCGCTCGCCGCTCCACCTCTGCGACTACATCGTCGAGTAACGCCATCAGACGCTGCAGAGTTGCGTCACCGCAGTCCTCCACCGCCATCTGCACCAGCCCAAGCTGCTCCAGGCGCTCGATCACATTTGTGCGTGTCAGCAGATTTCCCGAGGTCGCGTAGCGCACGTAGGAGACAAGGAAAGAGGTGAAGGGACCCACCACCTCCACAGCGGGCAGCTCTTCCACAAGTTGATCCGCCTCCGCTTTAAAATTCCGAAACACCCCACCTACAGCTGCCTCCGCAGTGCGCTGGTAGTCTTGCTGAAAGGGGCGGATGAGTTTCCGCAACACCCGCCCAGATTCAGAGGCGTTGCGACGCACCATCAGCGTCTTTTGTGTATAGCTCATCACCTCAAACTTAAGATGACCGTCACACGCCATCTCCACGTGTGAGGCCTCAAGCGACTTGTTTGTCCACTGCGACCGCACACCGCTCACACGCACCTCCTCGTTGAAGACATCGCCAAGAACCCTTTTGGTGATGCTGAGGTCGTGGCTCTCGCCGTGCGCCTCACGGTTGGCAAGGTCAATGAGATTCATCACAAGCTCCGACTTCGTTGCTCCACTCACTGCGCGGGTCCGTGCGAATGACTTCAAGACATCCGTTTTGCACGAAAAAAAGTCATCGCATATCATGTCAATAGACGAAAGAACACCTTCATTAGAGCTGCTGCTCGTTGGGGCCATGACCGGAGCCCAGTCCTCCTCCATATCTAGGGTTGGCGTGAACATGTGCGTCGTAGCATCAATGCTTTCCTGCGGCACCCCGTCGAAGCCTCCCTCAACGCCACGTAAATCGTGGGTGTCATTAGTAGTATTATTATTATTATTAGCGGCAGCTGCCGCACGGTTGTTTTTCTTGTAGAGAGCCTCTGTGGTGGGTGGGGGTGCCACCGCCCCCTCCTCTGTGTGCAGCACCCGCGGCTTCTTTGACTGTCGCACAGGTGGCGGCATGGCATCTGTGGCCGCCTCCGCACCACACCGCGCCCAGCGACGAGGCACGTTGCCTTTCTGCGTCAGTGCCCACCTCAACAACCGCCACATATTTATCTCCCTTCAACGGTGTAAATATATGTGTAGGCGGATAGTTTCCACTCCACAGAGAGACAAAGAGAGAGCAAAAACAAAAAAAAACATAAGAAGAAGTTAACAAACCACCACCGCCCTCAGCAGCAGGAGCAACACCACCAACGCCCAGACCTCAGAGATGCGGGCACTGCAGTCTGTCGCCGCGTTCAAACAAATATGGGCCTACGAAAATAATAATAAAAATAAAAATATGGAAATAACCACACACGCCTCAAAAGAGAGATGTCTTCAAACAAATATGGCCTACGACAATGTAAAACACAATACGGCAAAAAACAAAAAACAAAAAAAGAACAAAAAACAAACAAACCACGTCACTGTAATTTATGAGGAGGAACAAGTCACCAACGAATCCACACACAACCCGGACTGGTATACGTTCAGTTATGGGTGCAAACACTCTATTTACCCGGTATGTATTTCTATACAAGCACTTTTCAAGGAAAACACGCATACATATGTACATGGATATCTCACGCCATGAGCGTAGGGATAGACACCACTGGATCTAACCATTTGATGGAAGAGGGGTTGGGAGACCTCCCACCAAACCGGTTCCCCATCATCTCTGTAAACCCAGCTACCCACACACTGTTTGACCGATCCGTCACACTCAGGGAGCACACAACGTCTTTCCAGCCATCTGGCAGACGGTCCCCCATCTCAGCAGGCCACACCACCCCCACCAACTCCGAAGACAAACCCACAGGAATCTGCCTCTCTGCAGCCTCTTCCTTGTTATGAGAGTACAGCTGAGGTCCCGTCGCAGTCAGCGGGACCACCACAGTGAAAAGGGCACAGTTTGAGACACCCTCCGCGCCATGCACGCAAAACATTAAGACTGTAAAACTCAGCAAACGGAGGTCAACCGTAAACTGTGGACGCCCGCCTGGCTGACGCATGACTGTTGCCGTGTGAATCGCCCCCGCCGGAGCCACACGCCAGTGAACCGTGTATAAGTTGCAAGAGCCATCCCACTCGACGGTACAGTGATCCTTATCCATACTCTGGAGCCGTGTGCAGCCCACAACATCGACAACTATGCGTCTGTCGGGTGGCAGGCTCACAGACATTGTGCCCACTGTGGTAGTCCTAGTGACAATAGACTGCACTGTATCCGCGGAGGTAGGGGCAGGGGTGGTGTTGCGTCTAGTCAACGCCGTCTCCACGACTGTGTTTGCCGCCTCCACACAAGTTGCCGCATCGCCAGAGTCCTCTTCCTGCCGTCGCGGCATGTATTGTACATCGGAGGCCCACTTCATCTCAAGACGTGGCAACAACGCAACGAGTGCATCCTGCACAATCGGGAACGTGTGAAAGACGCTCAGCGCCTGCGACTTGCCCGCAGTGCTCCACAACTGCATAGATTCCCCCGACTCCGCAGTGACTGCCACGTGTAGCGAGGCACGCACGCAGAGACATGAGGAGATCTCCCCACACTCCCCCGTCTCCTCCGCAAGCCATGCAGAGTGGGCAGGAATCGTCCAACAAGTGCACTTCGCAGGCGGAAGCGTCATTTGAAGCGTAAGCGCCTCCGTCATCATCCGGCCGCTGTGCAAGCAAACTGGCAATGCACCTTCACTGTCACTTCCCGCCAACGACGCCTCCACGGAAAGCAACAAATCACTGAGCGCGTCATCCGTGAACTCGTGAGGGGTTACAATGCAAACACTTTCACCCTCATCGTCGTCACAACCACGAACCGCCACATGATACGGGGTGGCAGGGAACAAACCCCCAACACTCACAGAACGGGTAGGCAATGGCACAGGCAGTCTGCATTCCCACCTGTGATTCTCCTGCACCACACAGCGGACTGTGGCACACACCTCAGCGCAGTCTGCGGCATAAGAACCCACGCCCTCGGGCGGGGCCCAGGCGAGAGTGACCGATGTTGGTAGTAACGCCATGACCCGCAGCTCCTTGATACGCGCCGGCAAAGTTATGGGAACTGTGAAGGCCTCAGAGAAAGGCTTCGGAATAAGCAACGTGGGACGGGAACACAGCGCCGCCTCATCTGTTATACTGCGCAATAACGCATTACCATCATCATCGTCACTCTCCCGCAGCTGCACGCGTAACACCACTGCCCTATGCTCAGAGGACTTTGGCACGGACACCTGCACCACCACGTCGTCCTCGTCGTATTCCTTCAATGGGAGTTCATATTGTTTGCTCTCCGCAGTTTCAGTCGCAGCGACGTTGAGGAATACGCGTAACTGCTCCATCACGTCAGCAAACAGACGACGGAGCAACACAAGGAAATCCGTTGCGATACAAACCTCCATGGCGTTTCCAACGGGGGCGCCAACGGTGCAGTTAAAAAAATTCAGTGGGGGAGGCCCCGGTATCAAAAAAATTGGCGTCACCTCTTGAATAATGGCAGGTCCGTGAAACAAGACACGAACAGGAGTGGATGAAGGCGGTTCAATACGTAACTTGTTACAGGTCCGTACCACAAATGACTCTTCGTCGATTGACACGGTAAGCGGCGAACCGTGACGCTCGGCGGCGCAGGTCCAGACCATAGTAACACAACCGTCAGTTTCCCTCACGCACCGCAGGTCTGTGACGGCAAAGAGAAGGGTAGGTTCGCTGCACAGAATCTCTGTCGAGTTGACTCTCCAGTTGGCCTCAATCCCCAAAACAACTGGCTGGCAAACTGGCACCTGTGCGTAGCTCTCAACCGCAACCCCGCTAGTTCCATCTGCGTTGCTAAAAAAAGGAGCCTTTGGTATGAGTCTAACGGAGATAAACTCATTCCCCTCATCCTTAGCTCGAAGCTGCACACGCAGTAGAAGGGAGGCCATGTTGGATGTCGCAGTCACCACCTCCTGCGAGGGGGCATCGGGTGGGGTGTAAAACTCCACACTCCCCGTTTCTGCGTTGTTTGCCGTCCTCACCCTCGCCGTGTACCTCGTGCATGGCACCAGGGCATCCAACGTAATACACAGGGATCCTAATCCAGACACCACCCACTCGCAAACGGAGACCTCCTCCCCGTGGCTGTTGCAGGTTGTGAGGCACACAATGAATAAAAAGGAAATGCCCTCCCACGCAAGCGCTACCGACCTGGCGTGTATAGCTGCGCAGCACACACCACTCACAACCTCAAAAGGACCCATCTCTTCCGTCTGAGGTGCCATCGCGCGTCTCGACCAGCTCATACGCCTGCACTTGTTTCTGCCTTGCCAAAAAGTGGGACGAATATCCACATCAAAGGCAATATGGAGCAACAACGTACCAAGGCCCTTGGCGTAGAACGTCACAACATGTTCGTTTCCCTCTCCGTCCTCTGTCTTCACCAACTGAGCATCATCAGGGGCATTTAAAGGTGTTATGGTTGGCGTAACACGCAACCCCAACGCTGCTGAACTGGACAATACCACCACCTCTGAATAGATTGGGTAGGAGAAGGTCAGAGTAACACCTGACTCGGACGGGATAGCGGCATTCAAACGCAACATGGACCGCTTGTGTTCTACACACGTGGCAAAGTACAATTCGACACCCTCCGACCACAGAAAGCTTTTCACCATAGACCGATCCTCCCCAAGCTCCACCGGTCGTACCTCCAAACTATAAATGGTGCAGGGATTAAGTTCCGTGATGACATGATGTGATACAACATTGACCCCTGAAGTGACACGTTCACCGTCCTCCGAGTACACGTATAATACTGCGTTCTTGCTTCGCGACTCATGCTCGGAGATTGGGCGGCAGGTAAGTTGCACAGTTCTTGCTGTTCCACTCCACTCCACCTCCGCACGATCGTGACTGACTGCAATAACATTAACACTCTCCACTCTCGCAAATGGTGTGGAAAAAGCGATCCCGTCAGCCACCATTAGATCTTCCTGGGAGACCCATAAAGCTGGTGCCCGACGTAGAGCAAGGTGGACGACGCAGTAAATTTGTTTCAATGCCAAATTCTTAAACTCGTGCGCAATACTCCGCACGACATCACTAGGCGAGGTAGCAGGGATGACTTGCCGCATTGTCATTGTTTCCGTGGCCAGGTCCACTGTAGAAAGTACGATATAACGCTCTGTGGCCTCCTTCAGCACAGGGACATGCTCTGCCGAGGCAAGGCGAATAACGGCATTGTTGTACTGGATTGATTCAAGTGCCAGAGTTGTGGATGAAGCGAGTGACGAGAGTTGCTGCTTCATTGGGTTAAAGGGAAAGGTGCGAGAGAGAATTGCCGCCACACTGGACGCATACGTCCCGTGAACTGAAAAGTTCGTCCATGACAGATTTACTAGTGGCCGGGGGGTGAGGCGCGCGGAACAAGGGGCCGCCGGAGGTACCGCCCACCACCCTTCGTTTTCTCTCCAGAGAACAACGCTGCTTAACTCGTGACTCGACGAGGCAAAGGACGCGAGTACAGCGTGCTCCAGCCCCCGTATGGGCTGCGCTGAACACTCTGAGAGGATCCAGCTTGCCAAGAGCAGTCCACATCGCCCTCCTCTATTTGTGAGGTGTGTATCACTCATGGCATACGCCCCATTCCAGCCCTCAGCATCGCCCTCAAGCAGGTGCTTTGATTTGATGGTGGGGCACATTCTTCGTGGTTGCATTTCATCCAGCAGCGCCGAGACAAACCGCAGACGTGTCCACCACACGCGTTCGGGCTGTGTGGTGCCTTTTAGACCCCCCAATGACCTCAGCGGCACCACCTCGTAGTCCCCCCCGTCAATGGTGTAGGCACACACCATCATACGCAGCCGCGTGTCCGCCATATCCAACGTCTCTGATAAGCGTTGAGAGATGTAAACAGGAATCTCGGACTCGTTCTGAAGTGGGCCCAACAACAGATACTTGCCTGTTCTACCCCCTGTCAGAGAGTCGCTGCGCAGAAGTGCTGCAAACGCCTCTCCAAATGTTGTTGAGGTCGTCAGCAACTCCACAGGGCGCCCGCTACTGTGACCAGCCACGAAAAAAAAAGCGGCATTCAAGTGAGAGATGTCACGGATGAGCTGCAGCGTCGTTTGGATCACACTTTTACACGCCCCTTCGGAGGGAATGTTGGCGTCAAAGTCCGCCACATCACCGGTGGTGTAGAGAAGTCGTCCTTGTGTAAGTAAACAGAGATCCATCAGCACACGCACCTTCTTCACCCGCTCTGGCGTGACCACACAAAACACAGGAACCCGGTAGAAGGCCGGCCCACGCCTCACGGAGGAGAGCGAAAGCTCCTCAGAGCTTCCACCGTGGGAGGGCGCAAAAAAGACAATCGCAATACGACAATCCGCGGCGGACTCTCCACGAACCAGGCGACAATGACGTTCATAACGCCAATGGCGCAACACCGTCCTTGCCTGTTTCCACATACTCACCATTGCCAGCTGAAGTGGGGGGCGATGCTTTTTACGGCGTTGTCGCGCATCGTCCTTGTTGACTTCCCACTGACGGATAGCCTCTGGCGCGTGACTGGGCTGAACAACCACATCCCCTGCCAGGGATACAAACACCACATCATTCAAGGTGAGGTTTTCCAGCAGCCACGTCACCTCCTCCAGCGAGCGACGCGTCCTACCGCTACCACAGGCATGAAGGACCAGCAACCAGATCGGCGGCTTCCTTGATGTCAGCTGGTTTGCCAACGTATTCATCTCCGCCCCACCACCACCACCAGCATCACCCTCAGCATCGCGGTGAGAGACCAGGCTCTTTATGCGAAATCCCAACTCCAGCATGCTATGGTGTGGTACCATGTGGTTCACCCTTTCAAAGTGCGCCCTGCAGCGGACTTGCAGGGTGCCATCCACCACGGAAGAGACATCTGTGAAGGAGGTTTGTGCCTCCTTGTCCGCCCACGCAGCCATACGCTCCAGCAACGCGGCAACGAGATTTTCGTTTCCCATCCAATGACCTTCAGCAGAAAGGTGGCACAACGTCGTCAGCTTGATGCGAAGCCCTATTCTAAGGAACAGGCTCACCACAAGCTCCTGGGGGGTATGCAGACTCTGCGACATGCCCTGTAATTCACGGATCCAGTCGGGGTTGACTTCACACACAGCTGGCGCACACACAACATGACGCTGAAAGCTCGAGAGATGCACACAACAGAATTTTGGGGGAAGTTTTTGTACCCATTCCATAGAAGGCGTTCCCACTGAAGCCTGCCCTGAAGCCAACGTGGCCTCCTCTGCGTAGGTGACCAACATAAATTTTGAAAACGGATACGTCCGCATTAAGTTCATAATAAAAGATGCCTCATCATCGTATGCAGCTTCCAAAACAACCGCAGAGGACACGGGTGGTTTGCCAAACGTGACAACAACCAACGTTGGCGGGTGCGACACTGTCAAGTCCATGAAGACGCCACCGCCAGTTGACCCCGCGTAGAGGGTGTAGAGGCAGTCAATGATGCCGCCGGCACAGATGTCATCGCCCAAATATGTCATGACCCTTTGCTTCTTCTTGTCCTTCCTTCTGGTCCTTCAATAGGCCTGACCTCTGCCACCACCACCACCACCACCACGGCCACTCACTCAAGCAGAAGCCGCGGCCCCTTTCAAAAAAGAAAAAAAAAACCGCACGCAGCTCCACCCCACCCCTCCACTCCCCAACGACGCCAAAAAAGAAAAACACAACATGTGCGCGTGTATATGTGAAGGAGGCATGGTAGAAGTATTACACGTATAGACAAAACGACAAAAGGCGTGACTGCGGGTACATTGGTATAGATTGATGTGGATGTTGGCTGCTAAGAGGAGGGGCAGGGCAGAGAGGAGTGATTGCGAAAAGTTTCAGCAGTACCAACAATTGTGTAGATAATGAAATAGATCGCGGCAGCGATGCAATGCCTACTTCGGCCGAGGTGGTGGGCGTGTCAAGAGGGAGGTGAGTTGGGTGTACCGTATTTTGCCGTCCTTGTCTGGCTGAGCCCCATCAAGCAACATGCGGGCCTTCACTTCCCCCAGTACCCGCTGAGACGTGGCCTGCAGCTCGGCCAGATCCACTTTGCCTGTGCCCGCCGTGTCAAACTCCGCACACAGCTGCGAGAGCAACGCAAAGAGTCTCGCCTTCATGGCAATACAGGTGGCATTTGCCTCTAATTCAAGAAAGGCTGGATTACGTCGGAGTGACGGGAACAGGGCGCTGACGTCGTCCAGGTACACAAGCACCACCTCCTCATTCTCAACCCCGTCCGGGACGTTTGCCTGACCGAGCAGCGCGTGCACAAAGCGAAGCAGGGCGCTGCGTCGCGAGGCACCGTCGGGGCCTACCACGATCAAATCCTCGCTCTCAAAGATGCGAAAGAGAACTTCGGGCAGAAAGGCTTCAAGAACCACCATCAGACAACGGTACACCTGGCGATTGGTTGTGGCTATCGGTAAACAGAGGGCGGCGTAGACGAGGTCGAACTGCTCAGATGGTGTTTTTCGAACGTCATGCAGGGTTGCCTCCACCACCGCAGTCACGGCGTCCGTGGAGCCGCGGTCCGTGCCCTCGCCCCTGCAGAGTGCCAAGAGATCGAGGCACGCGTCCAGAAGTCGCTCGTTATGCAGCGACGCATCCCGATGTGCCTTATCGACGATGCTTTGATGCTGCACAGCGTTGGCCGTCTGTGCAGCAGCCTCATTACCGCCGCCACGTGTTGAGAAGAAATTCCAAAAACACCGTTTGCTATAACAGCAGGAGCTACAGTCGTAAACCCAAGCACCACCGTAGTTCGCGGTGATCGGCAAAAACATCCCCATGCGAAATGAGAACACACCACGTAAAGACGCGTTTAAACCTCGCGGACGAAGGCAGCGCGGCGCAAAGGGCATCACCTGTATTTGTCTGTGTGCGTGTGTGTGTGGATGCGCCCCACTCTCCCTTATTTCTTTGCTGGAAGAAAACGTTTCCTTCCCCGGCTGCGTGTACACACACAGGCGTGTGCGGGCGTCCAACAAAAAAAAAACAAACAAAAACAACACACACAAAAAACGGAACTATCAAAAGAAAAACAACGGCAATAACAGCTGCAGCAACAGAAAATCAAAAGAAAAGTCGCACTGAGTACCCCACCAAAAGCAAGAAGAAACCCATGAACACAATCGCATGTGGGACGGCAGACATTCCATCTGCGACACTGTGTCTCCCCAGTTCCCTCTCACCAGCGTTCATCGATTCTCACGCTACCAATGCCGCTTCCTCCAACCCACAGAAATCTCCTTCTTGAAGAGGACCGCGGCCCAAGTTTTACTGCGACCACTCCTTCACGAAATGCTTGGTAGCTTGCTAAGAATGTTCTCAATGACGCTCCGGCGTTCCTGTAGGCGCCGCATTCGCTGACGCCATTCCGCGTCCACGGTGCGGGGTGGGCTAGCCACACTGTGGGACCCCATCGCATCACTCTGCGTGAGGCTCGGCGGGCTCGTGCCTACCCAGTTTTTCTCCTTTCCTACTCCGATTTTTTCGATAGACGATAAGTGTTGCCTGACGGAATTTGGCGGTGTGTGCCACGCAGCATCTTGGATTGCAGTTTCGTTACTGGCATCATAATCTGGCGGGGTGTCCGAAGGAAGTAATTGCCTTTTATCCCCACAGCACAAGGGCGACATGGTCAGTGTCGTGGTAAAGGTTTGCGCCGTCACATCCGGCAGCTCCTCCACTTGGCCAATCAGTGTCCACAGCGCGGCGGCGTCGTTGATGTGGCTCAATACAAACTGCAGAAGCAGCTCTCCAAGATGCTGCCTGTCCTTCTTCTCTGCTATGCGTCGTAGGCGAGTCTTGACACTAAACGCGCTCACCGTCAAGTGTTGCAGCTGCTGCCGGTACGCCTCAATGATCGTTTCGCGGTCCCCGCTCGCGGTGGAAGCAGCCCCGATAGCGGTAGCAGTCAGCTGTGGCCGCTGTCCAGGGAGGTGACGCTGCTCCACGTTTCCCACCGCGCCTGCCTCACCCATCCGAATATCCATCTGGCTGCGGCTGGGATCGTCAAAGCCATTCGTGACCATAATTTCAATTGCATCAGAAGCAGCATCGGCGGAAGCACCCACTGCGCCCACCGCATCAAGCTGTACTTCTGGTGTTGCCGCCACACGCACCGGCTGCTGCAGTGGCCGTGCGCTTTTTGTGGGGGTCAACGAGATACAAGCGGTGTTCATCTGCTGCGGTGCCTTAGGTCTGGGCGAGCCGGGCGAACTGTGCGCAGCGCTTGTCTTCTGCAGAGCAACAAGCCAGACTCCAAGCAGTTGATGGGCATCCACAGACATAGTGAAGGATGTAAACGTCTCCATACCGAGCTCTGCAGGCTTCTTCTGCGTCACAGGCGTGATCACAATGGCGTGACGGCCGCCCACGACTTTCTTTTGCACATTCGCGTGATGCAGGTACACGGCGCCGCGACACCTCTCCTTAGGGCTGTCGCTGTCAAAGACGTACAACAGCGACCAGGCCAACACAAAGTACCGCAGCACCCATCGCTGCAACACACCACCCATATTGGAGAGCTTGTACCCCGCCCCCGCATGCACCATGGCGTTCCCCCAGTGTCGCAGGCAAATGGAAAGTGGAAGATTCCCCAGCCATGCCTCCTCCCAGCGCTGGCGGTCCAAAGCTGAGGCGAATCCAATGCTGCCCTCCACTTCCTGCTTGATCGACTCTGCGGTCACCACTTCATCCATCGACGGTGTCCTCACCTCCACAGAAGACTGCCTCCGCGTGAGATCTGACCCCCGCAACAACGGGGTGGGCAGAGTGTGGTGCAAGCCGTTTGCCGCATCAGCTTCGCGATCAGCGGGTGCCTCAAGGGGCGTCACACCAATTTCCGCGTGCATCGCTGCGACAAAAAGCAAACAAATACAAAACACCACTCCCTTTTCCACACTTCCACCACCTCTGGTGTATACAAGACGAAAACAACAGCAAAAGCAGCGGTACAAGCGGCTAAAAAAGAGGGCGAATAAAAAGAAATACCGGATGGATGTGCAATCGCAAAAGAACTGAACACACACACACACATATACACACAGACACACACACAGAGAAAAGAGAGAGCGAGGCATACAGGCGAAAAGGAGAAGAAGTGGGACACACCTGCCCATTCCACACACACAGTACAAAGCACGGAAGCATTTGAGTGTATGTACCACACTGAAGCCTGTTAGAGACATCTTATCGCGAGGCGGGTCACGGTGTGCCTGTTGCCACCGCCTTCCAATGGTCCCGTTCTTTTTTCACTGTGGACACCTCACGACGCAGTACGTTCATCTCCTCATCCAGGCGTGCCGTTTCCCCGCGAAGTGCCTCCTCTATGATGTGGTCGTCACTCCAGTCCGCCCCTCCACGAAACACCGGGTCTGACGTCATTGAGGGTGGGGTAGAGTGCAGCTGCAACGAGTCATGCAGGGACGCAATGAGCTGCTGTTGCTCTTGACACTGTCTTCTTAGCGCTTCACAGGCCAACTCGCGCTCCGTCGCCTGCTGCCGCCAATGCTCCAACTCCACGCGGGCGGCGCGCAAAGAGGAGACCTTGCGCTCACCAACACCTTTGCCCGTTCCTCCGAATGTGGAGACTTGCCGCCGCACGTTGTCAAGCTCCAGACTGGTCGCCACCAGCTCCCGCCGCGTCCGTCCCAACGCCTCCTCACGTTCTTTAAGACACTCGCACAGACGAAAGACTTCTACCCGCAGCGCAGCAATAATTTCTGGGGCATCCGCCGCCATGAGTGCGTGCCGTTGCACATCCCGCAAACGGCTGCGAACGGCTGATGAAACTGGACTTTCGTGCTGTGCCTGCTCGTCACCACGTGTGTCCTCCGCCGCGATTGCCTCACTGGGCCCCACCTCCGCCTGTTCCTGGGTGAATGTGTCCAAGCAATGTGAGAGTGTCTTGTAGGCGTCGCGAACACCGCTAAACTCCGCCCGCAGCCTTTCCCATGAGAGCCGCGACGTGGCTAACTGTGACTGTTCTTGCTGGAGGAAAGCCCCACTTTCCTCCAACCGCGCCTTCAGCTCCGCCACGCCTGTGACGAGCCGTGCGACACGCTGCTTCACAATCCCACTGCCTTTGTCAGAGACAGCGGCGTCCGCTGCTGCGTTGGCTGAGGGTGACTGCTCCCGCGCCTGCTGCAGCTCCGCCTCCAACGATGTCAAGCGCTCCTGAAGCCGCGCGTTCGACACCATGAGCGTCGCGTAACTGCTGAGTTCGTGCGGTGGAGGGGCGTCGGTCAGCACAGCCTCAGTGCCGTCACTCCGGTGCGCATGGGTGGAGTCACGCCTTTCCACCGCGCGTAGTTTCCCTTCCAACACCCCAACCTCCTCGCGCAGCCCGTCCTCATTCTCCTTTGAGGCCCTCATCCGCCGCTGAAGCAATGACACCTCATCCTCACAGCGGTCGTGCGCCTCTTTTGTGGAGCGCAGTTCACTCAGAAGTTCCTGCTCACGTGAGAACTGCGCGAGATTCTCCTCCCGCAGCTCACACACACGCTGCTGTAAGGCGTCGTTCTCATTGCGGGCGGCCTGCAATTGCGCCTCCATGAAGCCTGCCGTCACGACTTGCTTCTGCATTCGTGTCACCTCCCGCTTGTATGCCTCCACCGCGGCCCTTGCTTTGCTCAACTCGGCCTCCGCCGTGCACAGGTCGGCCCCCAAACGTCGGCGGCATAATTGTTCCGACTCGTCTCGAGCTTCATCCCCTCGATCCAGACGCTGTCGGAGGCGCATCGACTCATCGCGCAAGCCTTCTTCTTCCTCCTCTTCTTCCTCCTGCCGCATTTCAGTGCTGGTGGTGCGTGGCAAATACAGCCCCGTCACTTCTATGCGATGAAGTTGCTGCTGAATATCCCTAATTACATTATCTACCACACGGTGCTGCAGACGACGCTTCCCAATCCGCTGCCCGACCGCCACCGCCTCCGGGACACCCGTCCCACCGCTGTTATCATTATTATTAACAGCAGTCGTGCTGCCGTTCCTCGACGCAGTTTGGGTGAAGGCACAGCGCTTCTGAAAATCTTCAATGGCTCTGTCCTTGAGACTCACATCTGCGGCAAGCCTCTCACAGCGTGCATGGGCCGCGGCCACTTCCTCTGACACCGCATGCACTTGCTTGTCCGCCGCCCGCTTTGCCTGGCGCAGTGAATTCAGCTCCATGCGAAGGTTATTGATAACCGTGTCACGGGCAGCAATGTTTTGACGAAGCTCCATCAGCAAATTTGCCGTCGCGCTGCGTTCACCGTTATTGTCATCGGCTGCTGTAGCCGCGAAAAGCACCAGTGAAGGAGCAAGATGTGCGGTCCCGCTGCACCCGGAGCCCTCTTCCTCTACACCCGCCTCATTTGCCTGCGGGCGTTTCTTCCGCATCAAGGCAAGCAGCGCCTTAAGCCGCTCAATATCCTTCGATTTGTCTTCTACCTCTCTATGCAAACGCGTGACCTCTTCGCCGCGGAGTCGCAGCGTTTTCTGCGCATGGACGTAGCTCATGCGCAGGTAATGCAGCTCCTCATGCAGTGTCGCAAATTTACGCTGCTGCAGAGAGCGATAAATCTCAAGCTGCTGCTCGGGTGTTTCCAAGGCCGGCTTCAGGGGTGACACCGACGGCGTAGGCTGCCGCACAGTGTGGGCCACCATCGGTGGACTCCAATTCCTGCTCCTACTGCAGCTGTTGCTTCTTCGTGTCTCATACCCAATGCCCCATGGCGGCGAGGAAATCAATCTTGGCAGCGTCCTCTCGTGTGACGGTTGCATGCGTCGCACCAGCCTCTCTTTCCGCACACGAGGCTCCTGCTGCTCTGCCCGCAGATCCATTGTGTGGGGGTCGCGCCGACGCACCTCCTCAGTAGCTGTGGCGGAGCTTCTCCCCACCACATCCGTCGCCACGCCCCGCACCCGCTCCTCCCTCGCATCCTCCACATCCACGTCAATGACGGTGACGGCGTCGCCATTGGGGCCTTGCTCCACCGTCGCGCCATTTTCAGGGGCCGGTGCCTCGACATGCCTCGGCATGTTTTACTGAGCCCACCCGCACCACAGGAAGAGTGAGAGAGCGAGAGAGCGAGAGAGCGAGAGAGTAGCAAGTGCCTCCGTGTGTCCTTGCCCTTCCGACCATCCTGCTGCAGTGAAGCAACCGGGTGGAAGGCGACAGGAGGAAAGCAACCAACCGACAATATGGAGGCAAGGACACGAAAACCACAACACGCGAGAAAACAGGATCGTCCAAGCACAGATACGCACAACAAAAAAAAGTGGAAGAAATAATATGTGTGCGTAAGAAAGAGGGAGAGGAAGAAGCGGATCACCGTCCTGTTGTGCTTTATCGTTCCATTCTACGCATTCATTACTGCAATCGCACTTGCGCATTGCTTCCTTCGGTCCCGTTGAATTCAGCATTCAAGAAAAACGAAATAGTTTATTATGTCCCCTCTGGAATATACCCCACAACGCCCACCAAACGGTTCCATTTCTCCTTGCGGTGAAGAGTGTGTGCGTATGGTGGGAATAGAAAGTAATAATAGCAACAACAAAGGCCGGTGCGCAAAGCACGCGCCAATGTAAAATGCTGCCGTAGCGAGGGAGCGAGCAGGCACACAGCCGCGTCCCCAAGGAGGAGGGCCACAGTGGGCTCCCAAGCCGCCAGGGTGCAGCAAAACAGCCCACACACGTGGAGAGGCAACAAAAGAAAAAAAAAAGCAAAACTGAGAGAGAAGAAAACACACAACCACCTCCACCATACTCCGCGCATACGCCCAGCAATTCTCTGCTGAACACCCCCACGTCCCACTGAGGATCACTTACACAGTTGTCACTGCAATCAATTGCTACCCCGTTCCACACCACCGTCTTTTGCACTCCCACCATTTAGTCTTGTTGTACCAACAACATTGGGAGGAAGCCCCACAGCCGCCAGTAATGTCCGCTTATCTATCCCTTCCATTTCCGCGCGTTTGTAAAAACCCTCTACACACGTACCAAATTGCAGAATGTAGTCCCATAGCACACTCTCATCCAACATGGGATCCTCACCATAGCTTTCCAGCATCGCTGACACGTCGTCCTTCAGTCGCTGATGACGAAGGGCCAGCTCTGAAACGACGGCGAGATGCTTCTGAGAATGCATCGCCATCCGTTCCGGGAAGACGTCCACCACACCCGCCGGCAATGGCACCGTCCGCTTCTTCTGCGTCTCTTGCCGCTTGTGCTCTTCAACGGCTCGCCGCATCTTCTGCAAGGTGAGGCTAAGCTGAGACACGCTGTGGCCAACCTCCTGCACAGTGATGCCAGCGAGCTGGGCAAGGCAGTCCAGTTCCCCTAGAAACTGCAGAAGATCCGGCCTTCGGTCCATTAGAGAGATAACAAACACCTCCAACATGGTCGTCTTCCCGTCCACCGCTTTAACAAAGTTCATTTGACTCAGGCTCTCAAGACGGAATCCGACCGCACCGGCGTGGGCGCTGCCACGGTTCATAAAATTACCAAGGGCTAACACGGCATGAAGCACAGCCGCAAGCTTAGAGGTCTTGCTCGTCAGCAGCGCCACAGCCCTCTCTAACTTGCCAAGGCGTTCCTCCGTGAAGGAAACAAGCTCCTCCGTCTGCTCAGAAGCCAACAAAAGTGATATGCGCTCACGCGCGTCAGTCACAGTGGTACTCACCGTATAAACATATTTCTCAACTTCTGTCCAACTTACGTCTCCAGAGGTCTCTTCCATGCGGAGCACCTCGATCTCCGCTGACGTGGGAAGAGCACCAAAAAGCAACTCCAGCTTCTCCAAAGGAAGCACCACATCATCGCACTCAATAAGAGCACGACACATTTCCCCCACCGGCAGCTTCATTTGCTTCAGCAAAATGGCAATGTTCTGCTGCCGCTGGGCACTAAAAGCAGTGCTTTTGCAAAGTTCTTTTTTATTCGTTTTTTTTGACTCACCATTCGACGTCGACAGGGGCACTGCCTTCTTACGGACCTCAAACATCGCCAGCAAAAACGGCTCGTCAATCACCGCCTCCACAGACGCGTCGCGTGCAATACTCCATACCCCAGAAGGTCGCAGCAATTTTTTCCAAAAAAATGTCTTTAACTTCGGCCCAGCACAAATGGGTTTGGAAGGCGCACTATGCACCTCTCGTGCCAAGACGACTGATGAAACACCATCAGAACCAATTAAAGGAGGAGCCGGTGGAGGTGGTGGTGCTGGCGGTACATTACCAGGTGGTGGAGGCGGAGGTGGTGGTGCCTTACCAGGTGGTGGAGGCGGAGGTGGTGGTGCCTTACCAGGTGGTGGAGGCGGAGGTGGTGGTGCCTTACCAGGTGGTGGAGGCGGAGGTGGGGGTGCCTTACCAGGTGGTGGAGGCGGAGGTGGGGGTGCCTTACCAGGCGGTGGAGGCGGAGGCGACAACGCTGGTGCAGTGATTTGATGGTCGGTGGGAAGCTGCGAGGGGTCGTGGTGGCGCACCGGCTGCGGGTCTTTGAGAAAGGGCGCCAGCTCATCATCGTCCCTGTAATGACGCTCCTCCTCTTCCATAATACGGAGGGGCAACACCCCGCGCAAAAAGGAGCGCCCATCGCCGCCTCCATGACTGTGAGAGCCGCAAAGGCTCGTCCCGTTGGCGCGGTAGTACACACCACCCACAAGTTCGTCATCCCTGCGGCAGCTGGAGACGTTGCGGCGGCGGTCCGACGGCAGCAAAGGCCCGGACCGCAGCAGCGCCACATGCCGCCTGGGAGACTGATCGATGCGCCGCGTCAGATGTTCAACGTACGTGGCGTCCTCCGCCTCTGCCTCTCCCTCAACAAAGTGCAGCTGCATGTAGGCGTCACATGGCAAGTGGTTCTGTTCAGCGTAGTCCATGTCCTGTGCACGAACGTGGTGGATGTCCCGAGAAACGAAGATGGTGCTGAATGCCCACCGAGCAAGCACGCGGGGCTTCAACGAGGGCTCCAGCTGCCCCGGAGGCGCGTGCGACGGCAGCTCGTAGTGCAGCAGCGAAATGATGAAGTCCCCAAACACGCACTGCTTCGGGTGAAGGGAAATCTGCAAGGTGTTGTCGTCATCCTTCGCCTCCC